ATACAAAGGGGAGCCCTTTTTGATTGGTTGACATTATACAAAGGGGAACCGGTAAAATAAAAGGGGAGCCCAGTATACAAAGGGGAACCATAAAATATATAAGGGGAGCCCTTTTTGATTGGTTGACACTATATAAAGGGGAACCGGGAAAAATACAAGGGGAGCCCTTTTTGATTGGTTGACATTATACAAAGGGGAACCGGGAAAAATACAAGGGGGGCCCTTTTTGATTGGTTGATACTATGCAAAGGGGACCGGTAACAATACAAGGAGAGCCCTTTTGGATTGGTTGATACTATACAAAGAGGAACCGGTAAAAATACAAGGGATGCCCTTTTTGATTGGTTGACATTGTACAAAGGGGAACTGGTAAAAATAAAAGGGTGGTTGTCACTATACAAAGGGGAACCGGGAAGAATACAAGGGGGGCCCTGTGTGATTGGTTGACACTATACAAAGGGGAACCGGTAAAAATAAGGGGAGCCCTTTTTGATTGGTTGACAGTATACAAGGGGAACCGGGCAAAATAAACGGGAAGCCCTTGTTGATTGGTTAACATTATGCAAAGGGGAACCGGGAAAACTAAAAGGGTAGCCCTTTTTGATTGGTTGACATTATACAAAGGGGAACCGGGAAAAATAAAAGGGGAGCCCTTGTTGATTGGTTGACATTATACAAAGGGGAACCGGAAAAAAAAGGGGAGCCCTTTTTGATTGGTTGACATTCTACAAAGGGGAACCGGTAAAACTAAAAGGGGAGCCCTTGTTTATTGGTTGACATTATACAAAGGGGAACCGGTAAACATATAAGGGGAGCCCTTTTTGATTGGTTGACATTATACAAAGGGGAACCGGTACAAATACAAGGGGAGCCCTTTTTGATTGGTTGACATTATACAAAGGGGAATCGGAAAAAAAGGGGAGCCCTTTTTGATTGGTTGACATTCTGCAAAGGGGAACCGGGAAAAATAAAAAGGGGAGCCCTTTTTGATTGGTTGACATTATGCGAAGGGGAACCGGCAAAAGTAAAAGGGGAGCCCTTTTTCATTGGTTGACATTATGCAAAGGGGAACCGGGAAAAATAAGACGGGAGCCCTTGTTTAATTATACAAAGGGGAACCGGGCAAAATAGGGAAGCCCTTATTGATTGGTTGACATTATACAAAGGGGAACCGGGAAAAATAACAGGGGAGCCTTTTTTGATTGGTTGACATTATACAAAGGGGAACCGGTAAAAATACAAGGGGAGCCCTTTTTGATTGGTTGATACTATGCAAAGGGGACCGGTAAAAATACAAGGGGAGCCCTTTTGGATTGGTTGACATTATAAATATTATACAAAGGGTAACCGGTAAAAAAAATGAGGCAGCCCTTCTTCATTGGTTGACTGGTTTGGGAGGTTCACATCCTCTTTGCAAGTTCAACGAAGAGGGTCCAACATTTTGGACAAACTCGCATGCGATAGTCTGCATGCCGGAGGTTGGATAGGTTGGGTCGGGGGCGGGGAATGACATCGTGCCAGTCACAGCAACTACCCAAGTGGCACAAAACGACACGCATGACGTTTCGCATGGCCGTGGCATTTTACAAAACAATTGCGTGGCTCAAGAGCGGCCGTGGCAAGTGCACAAATTGATGCGGCCTCCAAAAGTACAATCATGCAGACACGTTTTGCACTTGCAGTAAGCGCCTTGGCCATGCGAAACATAGTTTGAGGGGCTCCAAAGAGCTATTTTACCTTGCCCAAGCACCTATTGTTTCAACAACCTCCGGTTGGTTGCCCAAAGGGAGCTAAGGCTAGCGTCTGGATTGAAACATATGTTGCCCAATGCTTTGACTTGTGTTCGCTACCAATTTGGATAGTTTCAGACTCCAGCCCATGTTTGCCAAACTAAAACATGTTTTCTTTCACCAGAAACCACCTGGCCCACCAAAAAATGAAGAAGTATAGAACCACAGTAATTATTCACCAGCCAATTGGTTTGAGGCCGATCCGATTTTCAACCTGAGAATCAGGGATTTAACTTCCAGAATTGATGGCTATGAAATGAAACCAAGCTCTCCGGCTTGTGCTATTTGCAGGCAGGGATTCTGGAAAACGTTAAATATCCCGTGGCTTCCCTTTGAAAAATACAGGGCGCTACTTAGCACCCAGGAAAAAACAAAACCCATGGAAGCAAGTACTTGGAAAGAAAGGCTTGGCCCGATGGGGCAACTGCAGGATGTGGTCCGCATCGGGCAAGACCCCGTTCCAATCGGAGAGGGAACCCATTGCCAAAGGGGTTCCTTTTGAACCCAAGGCCAATATATAGCTCGCAAGCCACACTCTGCCTTCTGTATCGTAAGTTTGCCTCGCCAGTCACATGGGCATGATTGCTCTTCGACCCTTTTCCAAACACTTCAACTAGCCTCCATTTGCTTAAGCCCATTGGAAAAAGCACATGTCCAGTAGCTAGAAATCATCGTTGAGACCAACCGGATTGTCTACTCCCTCCCCGCGCGCGCTCGCTCCGTGACCCCTAGAAAAACGGGGTCAATCGGGGTCATGACCCCTTAATTTCCGGCAATGACCCCATTTTTCAGGGTCGTGGAGAGTCTAGGCAGATTTTTTCCGAGCCGCCGGGAACTGAGAAAGCCTAGGCCGTGTTGATCAAGCCACAGGGCGGGACCCGAGAAGTGATGCCAACATCCGTTGGCCGTGTCGCAAGTTTGCTTCCTATGGCCAGCCTAGGTCTCAAATGCTGGACCCCCCTTTTGGTTGAAACAAAAAAGACAGCCAGAGGAAACCAACAAAGTTGGGGTCCCTCATTTTGAGAAACACTAAAGCCACGAGCAACCTGATGCAACCTGGGCCCCTGAGGTTGCACCCGCATCATGCCGATCGCCAGTTGAGTCGTGCCTTTCAAGTAACTTCTGACCGGCCGCTGTCCTAGAAAGCATTCTCACTTCCTGAGTGGATAGGCCCGTGCACAATGTGCAAGTCTTCTGTTTACCAAACATAATGGTCGTTGCAAACAGTATAACACCCAGAAGTACGGGAGCAGTTCCAGAAGCTTTCCTGGCTGCCAGGGTTTGGGCCCACCAAATCACGCGACGCGGAAATTTCCCAGTGCAAACATCCTCTGAGTTTATGGCAAGTGGGCTGAGCCCGAACCCTGACAATTGGACACCAACTAGTTGGTCGCATGTAGCTTAGACGTCCTTCAAGTTGAGCAAGGGCTTCTAAATTCTGATACTTCACCAAAGCGACGTTTTATTGTTTGGCACTGGCTTACATGAGATCGCCTTGCCTTGCCCCGATGGGAGCTGGCAAACACTTCCCGAGATCGATCACATGGTCTCCTGTCATTCCGCCGGAATCAATCGATACTTCATCCCCCCCAGGAGGGATAAGGTTTCTCTCGCTTCCTGCAAGCAGGCTGAGTTTGTTTCAACATGGTGGGAACCCGCCAAACATTGTGCTTCCCTGTTGGTTCCACTTGAGCAAAAGCAAACAACAAACAGTGCGCCGTCAAGAAAAACATCGCCATCTACTCGTACCCATCATGCGTCTATTTGATCACGGGGGTTCGGCTCACTACTTGTAACATGCGCTTTTCTCTTGATGGCACCCCGGAACTGAAACAGAATCAGGTCCTTTTCGTCTTGGAACCGCTCCCTCCGGGGATGGGGACCATGCTTCCGCCGAACTGGATGCTTCCGGCTGCGTCGGAAGCCGGTCCATTTGCGGGCCACCGACACCCGGGCGTGGTCACAAACGACACTTTGCTGGACCTAAAGGACCTATACAAGTTCCTGAAAGTTTGGCATGCAGAAACCGGAAAAAAAAAACGTGCCGCACTCCGAGTTGCTTTGGGTGTCAAAAGGATCTATTGCGGGGCCCCCAATTCCATCAGGACCCCTAGGTTAAAGGTCAAAGAAAGCCAATGAAATCCCTTTCCCGTGAAGCTACTGGGGCCGAAATCTTTCGGATGGGGACGTGGGGGTACCTTCAAAGCAAGATAAGCAATGATCCAAAGAGAATCATGTCACTCTCGGTTGACGTTGGAAGGGGTGCTTTTTTTTAGCAGTTAAGTGGGGATTTCCCACTAAACCGCAATAAGCAAACATGTAGAATGTGTTCCAACAACAACCATGAATTAGTTTGCTCGCCCCTATGCCGAAACAGGCCATTTGCCTTGGGCTGGCAATTTCGATGGACAGTTCGAAAGCATATTTTGAAGGCCCGATGGCGCCAGAAGTGCGACGGCACCCAACCCTTTTTCCCGACACACCTAGGGCTCACTTCCAGGCTGACTCTAATATAAAGGCCATGAAGAAGCCGAGTGACTCTCAAAGAAGACCAGTTGGTGAGGTTGACCTTGGGCAAACCAACCATCCCTATGGTCCGGGTCTCGAAACAGTGGGCAGCAGTCCTACTCCAACGGTCCGAGAATCGTTTTAGGGGCAACCGTCCTACTCAAGTCCGGGAGGAATCGTTAAAAGTGTTCCTACCTAGACTCTCCATGACCCTTAAAAAATGGGGGCATTGCCCAAAATAATGGGGTCATGACCCCTTTTTCTAGGGGTCGCGGAGACTCTGGGTATAGTCAAAACCCATAAAGCCTTTTCCCCTTCGTTCAGTGGGTAGCCATGATTACTACCAAACAACTCACCGACCATCCTTGACGCCTCGAGAATCTTTACCCTGTCACTTGGGGCCATCGGTTGGGTGCAGGCTACGATCTCAGCTCATTCCATGCTGGGCTTCGGCCATGTACCCTGGCTCTAAACAATGTCGGCCGGTTAACCAACCTACTGGAGCAATACAGCGGTGTTTCCCCAACAAGAAAGTATTGCCTCTGACATGGGCCGTGATTACATGGACCAGTCTTTTGTTCAGGGTATCCTTTCATCTGTTTGGGTAGGTTTTTCCGGAGCACCAAGGAAAATCTATATGCTCCCTCCAAAGATAGCACTTGTGAAAAGATACCTTCCTCTTGGGGGTCTCTGTCTCAGTTGCCATGTTCGGGGCAGGAAGGGTACTTCCCCCGATTTGAGAATCGCAGGCATGTCGCCAACCCGCGGGTACACGACATGAGCCACTCTCACGAGCCGTGCGTAGGCACGTAGCCCTCAACCTCAGAGTCCCATCACAGTGCCCGGCTGCTCTCCTTAGTCCAGGAACCTTTCTACATCCCTTTTTACATCCTCAGGGCCATTCTGTTGCTGGGGGTATGCTTTAGACAAGTCATAAGAGAGAATGGGAATTCACATCTCCATCTGGGGATGTAAAAAAGGATGTGGAAAGCTCATTGGCCAAGGAGAGCGCTTCAAATCCAACCACTTGCCATCTATCAAATTTGTAATGGGCCGAGTGCAGACATTCTGTTTGCCGCTAAAAGGTTGGCGCTTACGAGCTTCTGACCAGTTTGTGTATATAGCTGAATAGATATGGGGGTTGTCTATACCTGTTTTGCCCAGGGACTCGGCCACACAGAGCCCAACAGCGGAGCAACCTTGGGCTTCGCTGATGGCTCTGCTTCGCTTTTTGCCATCCTGGAAACTGGAAGGAGGTCACATAGCTCAGATGGGCAGGGGCTCACTAGTGGAATTCGTGCAACCGCCGTCAATCCGCCATCCAATCGCGGAATCTTCGGTTTACAGATTCCAGCTCTTGCCAGCAATCAGATTTGGAAAGCACTGGGCCTCCGCACGCGAAATCAACAGGTAGGATTCCAGAGAAAACTTTTGCACGAGCTCAACGAGACGTGCGTCGGCACCACGATCTGAACACCATGCAACGTCTAGCGGTCCAATCGCTGGCCTGTCGCGGCTCGAGTTTTACAAATCGCGCGGTTCAACAAGCTGCCGCGGTTCATCAGGTTTAGACATGAAATTAGGGAGGGCACTCCATACATATATATATATATATTTGCTGAAGTACTTATATAAACAAACGGCTAACAAACTTAATCAGAATATGACAAAACATGCGATCGTCACTCTGTCAGATCTTTCTCGCATCCGTCCGAGGGTGTCGCATTTGCAGCAATGCACGTGGCCGACCACTGAAATCATTAATGGCTAAAGGTCAATAGGAAGCACATCACGTATATATACCTGAGAACTCCGTCGGGCTAAAATAAACGCCGTTGTGAATTTGGACGGGAATTTCTGCCGCCGCAGCCCAAAAAAGCCGTTGAATTCAAGAAACGCCGTCAGTTTGCAAGAAACGCCGTTGGCCCCTGGCTGATCCAAATTTCTCTCAGGGCCGTCTCAGAAGGTGGCAGCATGAAGCGCTGAACACAGCACAAAACGGATTTTCGCCCCCCTTGCAAGGGTCGATTTGTGACATCCGGATCACTCCTTACTGAAGAACTTCATCAATAAAGTGGTTGCGATGCTTGGGCTTGAGTTCCGTCGTTGGGACGCCCGTTTCCGCCGTTGGGACGCGCGTTTCCGCCGTCGGGGCGCGCGTTTCCGCCGTCGGGACGTGGGTTTCCGCCGCTGCAAGTCAACACTTTTCGCGGCAAAACAATTGGGTATTCCAACAGGTCGCACCGAGTTTCACCAACCCACAAAACCTAGCACAAAACCTGGCAAATTTGCATAGGTGCGGTCCGAAGTGCGCAGATCTCGCAAAGCAGTCCACGTCAGGCATCATGCCCACCAACCGCAAAAAACGCCGTCGCAAATTGAAAAACGCCGCCACAACCCGCTCCCCTTCGAGTTCCGCCGCTGGACGGCAAAAGGCGCCTTTTCGAGTCTCGGTCTGATTTGTTCGCCTTTTGGAGTTTGTAGGTATATAGATATATATATATATAGATATATATATATATGTAAGTAAGTAAGTAAGTAAGTAAGTTTTAAGTATGTATGTATGTATGTGCGTGCGTGCGTGCGTGCGTGGGTGGGTGGGTGGGTGGGTGTTTTGTCACACTACATCTAGTTGTGCATTTCTTTGGGCTCCTCGTGCCCCCGAACCCCACAAAGCTTTCTGAAAGTTACCTCCAAGCATGAGAGCTGCCCCCAACCCCACGTTGGCCATGTCTGCCAGCTTGAAATCGATACACTACATGTAGAGGGGAACCAGACCACTTTTAAGGAGGGGGCCCCCAACCCCCCAAGTTGCACAAACAGTGTTAACAAAAGCTGCCAAGGCCAGGGACCAGTTTAATAAATGTGGGGTTTCTGGTACAAAATCGCACTACGTCTAGTTGTGCATTTCTTTGGGCACCTCGTGCCCCCCAACCCCACCTTGGCAATTTCTGTCAGCTTGAACATCGCTACTAGTTCGAATAAGGGTACCCAAATTTTTCAGTAGTCTATTTTGCTAGGGGAACCCTCCCATCCCCAAAAAAGTTGGGTGAGAAAGGGCACCCTTTCGCTGGGGGACCCAGTTCTTTAGGGGACCCAAGAGACAAACACAGTGGTCTTCCTGTGGGAACCCGCAGAGAACCCGCAAAAATTATTGGGCGACCTGGTCGGGATCCCCGAAAAATCCCACGAAATCTCCAAGGCGCCCTGGTAGGTGAAGCCGTCGAAGTGGACCCCCGGGCCTGCGCCGGCTTCGGAGACCACCACCGGCATGTCCACGAACTCCTGGGTCAGAAAAAAAACGCGAAGCATCGGCTGAGACTTTTCACTATGTTCTGGGAGTTTCACCCCTTTTCTTGGGGTTTCTAGGGGTTTCTAAGGGGAGGGAAACAAAAAAAACACTAAAAACGCAAAGGGTCCGGTGACTCGCCGCGTTTTCCAGGGGTTTCTAGGGCCTGGGGTTTCTAGGAGGTGCAATTTTCTCTAGCCTCTAGGGGGTTGAAGTTTTCAACACTTTCCACTGGTTTCTGGAAGCCTCACCTTTTTTTTGTAGGGGGGGGTCCCTTTCATTTTTTCCTTCTGGGGGTCCCTCTTTTGCGGTTTTTTTTCGCCCGTTTCTGGTGGTTTCCAAGGGGTTCTAGGGGTTTCAAAGGGTTTCAATCCGCCCGGGAAAAACTAGGGTTTATCAAATCTAGCGGTTGTCAATAGTTTCACTGCTCGTTTTCGCTTTTCATACGGATTGTAGGGGTTAAAGTCAGACAGTAGTTGGGCATGTCCCTGAGACATCTACCACTGAACAGGGAGGTGACAAGTCACAATGATGAAGCAATATATACTGTGGATTTCACGGAATCTATTTCGCACCACGCCAGAAGCCCAGGTTGCTGATTCGATTCGAAATCCCAAACAAACAACGGTTTCAACCATGGTTTCTTAGGTGGTGCGAAATGGAATTGCTAGGCCTGTAAGGTGAGTTTACAGTTTGCTTTTTGGTGATGATTGAAGGGGCACTACTGTATGGGTATGACTTAACTGTCGGTTTCCCTTTGAATCCAAGCTGAAAAGGGTACCCTCAGCCAACACACAAATGGACATAGATCGGCTAAAGTCTTCCCGATTTGATTGCAACATATTGCAATATTTTGCTATACCAGTTGGGGAAGCTGTTTGAAGCTGTCTCTTCCCACGGGATTCCATGAGGGTTGGATGGGTCCACAAAAATATTTAGTTGCTGTACCTCCTTTGGGTTGATTCAGGGAAACCTCAAAAGGTGGGAAACCAAGCGTTGTAACATTGCAGTGTGGGGCCGAGGTTGAGCTGATGTCAAAAACTTTTGAGACGAGCTCGGCGCATTTGCCTGCGTCCCATCCGAGTCTACTGCGACACCAGACTCATGGAACATATTCAAGATAAGCCATAAAATCAAGAAAATTATTCGCAAATAAGCCCCACCTACGGCTTAACTGTCATACTCCTTCTTTGGGGTTTGGTCTGGGCTCAGTGGGGGAAGCCCTTGATCTGCGAAACAAGCGAAGCCCGTCGCTCGGATCGCTCCTTCTCGAAGTTGGAGACGTCTGCGGCCCCAGCGACCTGGCCAAGAGGTGACCTTCGAGTCCCGTGACTCCGGAAGCTTCCATCGGAAACGTAGGTTTCACCAAGGGCCGGGACCCCAAAGCGGGGACCCCAAGAAAAAGAAAAGGATGCAGCTTCAGCCAACTTGGAACGCAACAAGCAACGGTTCTCTGCACTTCCATGTTTGGCACCCAACTGTAGACCTATCAGATTCTGGAAACCACACAGAGCTCGCCACTGTCGCGCCTTGGGCTTGAAGGGCGGAGTCACCTAAGTGCTCAGCACCTCCAGCGCACCCCCCGAAAGGTACCTGGTAAACAACTTTCACTTGGATATTGCGCACCATGGCTGCTGATCTCCCCTTTAAAACGTGCTTTTTGTTTGAGGGTTTCCGAAGGGCGCCTTCCAAAAACACACACAGAGAACACAGTATGGGACTTGTTTAACGGTCCGAACGGCGCCCTCGACAACAAGACACGCATTCTTGGCTGCCTTTGTTTTGATCTCTATCTATTCGAGTGTCGCCTAGTGATGGCTCGCGATACCCAAAATGGTGGGAGCCGGTTTTTTTTGTAATAATAATACTTGTATATATATATATATTGGGTGTTTTTAGAAGGCCTGTGGGTTGGAGCCTAAACCCAGGTTCAACAAGCCACAGAATTCACAACTTCTTTTCGGCAACTTCTTTTGCAACATTTCAACTTCTTTGAAAAAGTAAGAATTCTCTACAAAGTTGTTTTCAGACATTCTTTTAAAGTATTAAAACAGCAACAAGTTGTTTTTGAATCTTTCTAAACAAGTTTTCATTGTACAACAAATTCATATTTGTGCCTGATTTGTTTTCATTTGTAGAATTATTGTCAAACGCGCTGGGGAACTAGCCCATGGCAAGCCCATGATAGAGTGGCCTCATGGCACGATGACACTATATTCAGTATTTCCGGGCAAGGGTTTCAAAGAAGCCAATTTGCGCGTCAACCTAGGCTCAAGCCACAGCAAGGCCACTTCAACATAAAAATGTAGCATGATCACTACAATTGGTGAAATCAATGTTGAACGTTCTCCAATATAAAGTTTCGCCCCGAAGGAGCCCCTCAAAAGCAACCTGTGAAAGCACCAGCGGCATGCCCTTGCGCATCCCTTTTTTCTCCCCCTCCGACACTCCGCGGAAAATCATTGCGACTTCCGCTCTTTGAGTTTGCGCTTCAAATTGGCCACCCCTCTGCTTGGAGGTTCTGGCAGTATGGCTGCAAGCTCGGGATCTTCAGCACCATGGCCCGCGGCCTCGCACAGCCCGACTGCCCGGAGTGCGGCCATGGCAGAGGCGACATCCTGCAGAGCTTTCGCAGTTACGATATAACAAGACACATCACATCTTTTTTTGCGGCTTTAGAGATACAGATAGATAAATGGATAAACACAAGTCCCAAGAAGTAAGAAGGCAACCCAAAAAACAGAGCACATGGCATCTCGCCAGTCCTCTTGCGTGGAGACAGGTGCGTCCGCAGCTCGGCTAACAGCACCAGAACGCCAATTCACCGAAGCAAACGCACTGCAACATCGTCATGACGACAGGCAGCGACATAGCATTGCCTGCTACGTCTTGCATCAGAACTTCTGTTGGGCGCCAGGTGCGCAAGAGATCTTTTGGCCTGAAGTCCGTCCTCTCGCCGCTTTGCTTTTTCGACTTCTTCGGCCCGCTCTTGCTGCCTGAGTGCTGCGCACCGTGGCTCACAATGCCGGCGGCGCTCGATGCAGCTTGGAAAGCGTCCAGCATCTCCAAGAAGAGAAGCGCTGGAAACCCCTGGAACAACAAGCCTTCCCGGCCAAGCATCAGGCGCGCGACCTTGCGATGCCCGGCGGGCTCGAGCCACACGTTCATTTTGGGCAGCATGGTGGGAGCCAAGTGCTTGTTGTCTTCTGCCTTCCACGTAGCAGCGTTAGCGCGCGCGATGCTTTGGGACAAGTCTCGCATCAGTGTGGCAGGAAGCTGGGCCTGCAACAACGGGACAGCGTCCTTTTCCCTATCTGTCAAGGTTGCGTACCAAGGATTCTTCAAAAGCTCGGGCTGCGCCCCCTGCCCCCATTTCACACGCAAGGCGGCGGCCATCCTCATGTGCTGGTCTGGCCAGTCAGCAGCAACCGGCTTTGCTTGAGCCAGCTCTTCGCGCCGCTCTTGCTTCACAAGTAGTTCAGAAGCCACAGCAGGGTCATTGTCGCCAAGAAGAATTTCAGAAGCACATGGCCCGCTCCGAACGCATCCAGATAGGAGGGCGCTGAACGTAGAAAAAATGCAATCCACGCTTCTGTCGTGAAATGAAAGTAGAGGGTTGGCTTCAACGCGCACCAAAAAGAAATACAAACGCCTGCGGCGCGCTGGCAAGCCAAACTCAGCGCTGTCTGTGAGGACGGGCTGACCTTCGTATCCGTGGGCGGCCATTTGGTTGATGGACACGTCCATGTTCGAGGACCCTCCTGCTTTCCTGACGGAGCATGCCCAAACATTACGATCCAATGTCTGACGCACTAGCGCTGAAAGTAAGGACGCAAGACAGTGGCTGCAGGGCCTGCGGCCACAGAGTGCTTCTGCCTCTCTTCTTCAGCGTCATTGGGCACCTTCTGAAGGACTTCCCGCTTGGTTTCCAGCGCCTCCTCGGCAAAGGGCCCGTGGCCGCTGTGCTCTTCAGTTCGTTGAGACATGTTGGTGTCCTCGTACTGCTCCCCCGTCAGCACGCCGACCCGGCCCACCGTCTTCCAGACGCCTTTCACTTTTTTGCCCTGCCACACCTCTTGCACTACCTTGGACTCGTCCAATTCTCCGTCCAACTTGGTGTCCCAATGCTCCAGGAGGACAAACTCCTTTTTTGGGCCTTTCAGCTTCATCCCAGTCTTGCTTTCCGAGTGCAAAGTAGTTGAAGCCTTCTTCACCGCTTCCCTGTCCACTCTGGTGCCCGGGCTTTCATTTTTCAAGCGGATATACTCTTTGACTGATTGCAAGAACTTTGTGTGCTCCTTGGGGTTCTCTCTCACATGCTTGTAGTAGGCACCGTATGAGGAATACTGGTAATCCAAGCCGAGCGACCTGAAAGTGCCGAAGCAAAGCATGCAAAGCCTGCCCTCGGGAACTCTGTTGAAGGCATCGGTCTCTGGGTTTCGCACCCTGCGATACTTGTTCCAGGGCCGCGCCCCGCCGTATTGGCAAAATTGGTCATCGAATTCTATCCCTAGCTCGTGCGAGGCTAAAGGGCTTTCGTCTGTGCTCTTGCAGTTGCATAAGCAACAGGTGCAAGCCTTGCTGAGGGACAAGGATACCGGAAGCGCGGAGAGCCCACCTGCGCGAGCAGCCGTAGCTGTGCTTGACGGGGCCACCGATGCTACGTCGTCTTCCATGGCTGCCACCGAAACAAGGGTGCGAAGGATGCTGCGGCCAGAGCCAAAGCTGCACACGCACAGGCGACCTGCCCAACTAGCACACAACAACACAACTGCAGACTGCTGCGCCCGCTCTAGCCAAGCCCTGCCCAACACGAATAAGTAGACAAAGCCTGGCTAGCGCAGTCCCAATTTCTGACGCGAGCGCCACGGACCTGCGACAAGCAGCTACGCTCTGGCAATCGCCAGTGGACCACCAGCGCAGGTCCTTAGATTGTGCGCGCGGCCACTCCATTGTATGGCCAAATGCAGCCCTGTGGAAAACAAACTTTGGTAGAACAAGATGTTTTTCCTTAAACATTTCGAAGAAAGTACACAACATGTTATGGAAACATTCGATTATTTTTCTCTACGGTTTCTCTGCGGTTTCTCTGCGCAGGTTAAGTAAGCATCAATAGCAACTTAGTAAAATCTCTGCGCAACAACCGAGATTCTCTGCGAAACATATTATATTATATTTTGAGAAAAACTTTTGAACAATTGTTGGAAACGCGTGCACAAAATATTGTAGTATTGTAATATTGTTATTACTTCTGCCTGCGATGTTTCTTTATTCTACAAGCTTCTGAAACTTCAAACTGGATAGGAACTTGTACTACGCACTTACATTTTCAAAGAAACGCAGAAAGGAATGTCCGGCCGGCTACGTGTCTCTTCAAAAGGACTACCAGTTTTTGTAGTAGCTGAAAGGAAGACAAAAAGCAACGCAGATGGCCAGAATCTCAGCAAAGCGGCTACGCAGCTACGGCCGGCGGCCTGTCTGTGGATCAACTCCAAGAAGCGACCAACTCATCCATCTCTGCTTCTGTCATGCCATCCGCGAACTCCTGCAAGCCTTTGCCACCTAGCTCAACGTGGTGCGAGCGTCGCCTGTGGCTCGCCCACTGTTGGTCAGAGTGGCCCGCGAGGAGCCATCGTTTCAGGCGTAGAACGCAGTCAGCATCAGTCAGTGTGCTGCTGCGGCTCACGGCCTTCTTGCAAGACAGCGTGTTCCCTTGATCGCAATGCTGTCCGCAAATGGCTCCCCGCCCACTCTGGCCCGCGGCCGGGACGATCGGCGCGATCTGAAATGGACCCCAAGGAATGGCTCTGGATTGCAGCTTGCGCTTCACAGGCGGAGCAGGCCCACTGGAAGCAGCAGCGGCAGACCCTGGTCCTGCGGACGAACTAGCCGACCCTGGTCGCTGGCAGGATTCGCCTCGACTTTCCTCCGCTTCCGAGGCCGAATCTGAGCCCCAGCCTTCCGAAAAGGAAAGGTCGTCGTCGCCTTGCAAGGCCGGCGGCCGCTGGCCTCTCCCTCTGCGTCTGCCTTGGCCTCTCTTCTGTCGCTTTGCGGCAACGACCAGCCCTTGGGCGCCATACGCATCGCTCACCAAGACAGAACTCATCTGCTGCACCTGCGCGTCTGCGCTCGTGGTGCCGAAGGCATCTGCCTTGTTCAAGATGACTCTGCGAGCGTCAGCCGGGGCCAGCGAGTGCATCCAGTCCGCAAAGCCAGTGTTCCGCGAACGTCTCTGGAGCAAGAACTCCAAGGCTGCGTTGCCAGACAACGCGGCCTGCGCCCCTGTGCCAGAAACGCCCGCGGCCTGCGGCCCTGTGTCAGCCATGCTGGCCACGCCGGCCAGCGGCCCTTCCTTCTCAGCCACAGGACCTCCCTTCTCGCTGGCCAGCGGCCCGGCGCTAGCCCGGCCCGCCTCGGCCTGCGGCCCTCCCTTCTCGCAGGGCTGCTCAACTTCGCCAACACTTAGATCTGCGCTGTCGGCCATTGCAACACAGAAAGGGCGCTGTCAAAAGACTGCGAGCAGAAAAAGCTACGACACGCATGCTTGCATCCAAACACTGGCCCCAAAAAACAAAAAAGCCAAACGCCGACAAGAACCCGGCAAAGACACCCGTCTAAAAGGTTACGTCGCACAAACCTGCATGCATAGACTAAACACAACAAAAACTGAACACTCTTGGCTGTAACCCAACCCACGCATGCCAAAGGTAGTCCTGACCACGGGCCGTTGAAGAAATCCAGGAGCTGCGCTCGGCCGGCAGGGAGCTCGACTTGTGCCTCGCCAGCGGCGGCCGCGTCAGCTGCACTGTCATCATCTTTCTTGGCAGCAGCGTCAAACATTGCTGCCATTTTTAAAAACCTCCTGGTCAGCGACCTTGCTTCGGCCCACTCCGCCTGAACGCCAACGGGCTCGGACTCCAAGAAAACCAAGTCCCGCTCCAGCGCAGCGCGCGTTCGCCGCCGTAGGGCTTGCACCGCGTGCCGGGAGTTCAGCACTCGAGAAACACAAAAACAACCAGACAAATTCCCCAGCAAGTGCGTTAGTTGTTCTACCACGTTCCCGTTCCTGTGCTGCGCACATAAAGTGGGCAGGAATAAGTGGTCGGCTGGAAGGGTGCTGTCGAAATGCTTAAGCATTTTGATGTTTGCTGAATGGGAATCGCACGTAGTTAGCGTACAAGTGTGCTCGGCTGCCACGTTGCATGGCCCGAGGCCTCCTGGATGCTCCGACAATGTTTTCCACATTGTGGCGCTATTCATTGGTGCCAAGATCTGCGGAGGTCGGACAACATGCTCGTCCCTGATAGTGGGTTGGCCGCCCGCCACGCTGGGAGGAGAGGCCATGGCCCACTGCGCATGCGAGCACAACACTGAGCAGCTGTTTGCCGGGTCTGTGCCGACCTTCAACGCAAAGCTAGACTCATCAAACATCAAGCTTCTGATGAAAAACTTCAAAGGGCGGGCCAACGAGTCTGCTGCGACCTTCTCACAGCTTTGTTCTTGAAACCTGCAAGCCGCCGACGCGCAAGCAAACCGAGCATTTCGCGAATGGCTCGCAGACGCGCCCTCCACCTCGCTCGCTACCTGTCTGCAGGTCGCTGTCTCGTGCCCGAACCCAGCCCTAAGAACAGCTTCGAGCGTCCAGGTCTTCCATTTCCCTTTGCCTGTGGCAACCTTTCTGCTGAGCTCTGCATCTGGTAGCTGGTGATCCTGCGTGCGCGCCTGCCCTGTCTTGTTGAAGTGCTCGCTCTGCAAGACGAGCTGCCGTTTCTTGACCGCAAAGCGCGCCCCAGCCCGGCGGGCCTGCAGATTCGCCCTTTGATTGCGTTGCCTTAGGCCTCTTCCTAATGGCTGGCGCCGGGCTTGACCCCGGCCGCGCCGGCGCTCCCTCTCTGCGCCTTCACCGCGGCCTTCATTGCCCTGCGCGTCATATTCGTTGGCAAGCTCTAAAACCTGATCCAGCCCCAGGGCAGCCATTGGGCCAAAGGGCAGGCTGCGATGAAAATGCTTACCAAAGAGCTTCAATGAAACTCCTTCAGTATCTCGCCAAGCAAATGTTTCCAAGATATTGCTTCTGGATTAAGTGACCGGTGATGTCAACAACCATTTCATTTGACTAACTTGCTGCCAAAGAAAAGAAGAAATATTTCATCATGCCCAAAAAGTTGTTTTGGAAACTTTCTCATTATTTGTGAAACTTGTTTTTAATTGAAAAAGATGTTTCAAAAACTTGTTTAGAAACAGTCATTCTATCAAAAGAATATTCAACATAAATATGATTGTTTCAAAAGAACATTGTTGATTTTGAAAGTTGTTTGTCGCACCCCTGCGTGTGGACTACCGCACAGGCCTTTTTAAAAACGCCTAATATATATATATATATAACCCTAAACCCTAAACCCTAATCCCTAAACCAGTTTTGTTTTCCGCCAAGTCACCAGGCGCTGATAGATGGCCTCCCAGTCCACCGAGCTGAAGAAGCTGTGGCTCCGGATCTCCACCCCTACCCGCCGAAAGCCGATCTTCGCGCTTCGCGGTCTGGAAACCCGATTGGTTTGGAAAAGGCCATGGGAATAACACCTCAGTTCTTCAGTGACCCTGGACAAAAAAGGGAACCCTGTTTTGGGAAGACCAGTTTAGTGGGGCAGCCAACAGGAAAAAACAAAAAAAGGAAAAAGGGTGCCACTGAACAACTGAGACACCCCTGCATGGTCTCACTTAGGTGGATTAGCGGATCTAACGTAGCATTCAACCCCCCTCCCTGGCCCAAGGACAAGGCCGTCTTTGAAGGAAACCTGGGGGAGGGGCGGGGTTGCGGGGGGGGGGGGAAGAAGGATTGCATTCTAATTCTGGTAGGTTAAGAAAACGCCCAAACAACTGATCTCGGTTGCTTTCTGCTCCCCTGCTAAAAGTGACTAACTTTTAGTGGCTTCATACGGAAAACGTTACGACCCCCGGAAAAAATACAAATAGTTCCAGTAGGAGGTCCATTGGGGATCAAGGTACTCAGTTTCTTCCGCTTCCGTACCTCCATTTTCTTGAGACCCCCTGACAAAAAGGAGAAACTATGTTTAGTAGTCAAATCGACTTGGTTAAAACCCCCGAAAAAATGCTTGTTTTTTTCCAGTAGGAGGTCCATTGATTGGGGATCAAGGTACTCAATTTCTTCCGTTTCCTTACCTCCATTTTCTTGAGACCCCCGGAAAAAAAGGGAGACACTATGTCCAGTAGTCAAATTGAATTGGTTAAGACCCCCGGAAAATATACAAATATGTCCACTAGGAGGTTTATTGGGGATTGAGGTACTCAATTTCCTCCGTTTCCGTACCTCCATTTTCTTGAGACCCCCGGAAAAAAAGGAGAAACTATATGTCCAGCAGTCCATTTTCTTGAGCCCCCTGCGAAAAAATAATATGCAAATAATTGCAGTGGTGATAGATGCCCTTTCTTAAGCCCCCTGGAAAAAGGGAGAAACTATATGTCCAGTAGTCAAATCGATTCCCTTTAAAACCAACCGGGGAACATAAAAAGTACTCTTACGCAAATGGAAGAGATCTCCCACCCAGTTCACATGGAACCGTTCGACGGTCCTGGTTTGGACGACTTTCCTGTTGAGGGGAGTGGGTCGCAGTCAAGTTCCATGTTAACTGGTGTTCAAGGGGAACCTCCGAAAGTGGCGACAACAAAAACTACATCACCAGTCAATTGATCAACTTTTGACGGGGACATCCAGTGACCTTCTTTACCTGGATCCCGAGTTGATGTGGTTTTTCCTATCAACGGTGACAGTTATTGGGGTACAGTGTCTAGGAACAAAAACGAGGACTGGGCTAGGGAAACCCAATGGTACTAAAGACCTTGCGAGGGTCTTTGGTGTGGCATCCTCAAATGGTAGTTTATCAGGGATCCTTACATTATACACCTGAACATTGCCTTGTAAATGGTGGTTTCCCTGTATCTTCGTGGAAAAAGCAACATGCTTCAAATGGTTGCAACATGTATCGTTTAAGGAGCCCTGTTTCTTGGTTTGGATTTGAATTGACAGCCACTGCCAAGCGAGCTCGAGATAGGTGCAGAACTCATGAGCTGTTCGGCTCCCGGACCCTGAAAGGTTCTCATCCTTCTCGACCCCTTCAAAGGTTTCTACAAAGCTTTCAAGCAGAGTTGGGGGCGGAAGTGCTCGCATTCTCTCCCAACACAATCGCAACCACACCGATTTTCCAGGTGAGGGTTCATTTTTAAAGATGGTGACGGACTCCGACTCCCTTGAAGCCGTGGTCTGGTCTGGATGCCAAAACGTTCCGACTCCCTTGGTCTGGTCTGGGGGTGGGCCCCGGGGGGTGCTGGCAACCACAGCGCTTTTCCACGTGAGTCGAGTTTTTTCGGTACTAAGATGGTCTGGGACTCAGTAGCCCTGGTTGTACCCCACTTAGCATGGCTGTAAGTCCCCTATATCCCGGGTTACTAACCATTTAGCTAAGTCCCAGACCACCAAAGCCATGCCCCCCCCCCCGGCCATCGTGGGGGCCGCCGCCCAAGCGCTTCTCCGGCTGGCGCTCCAGCAAGCTCTGGAGGAGACTCTTGGCCACGGGGCTGATGTACCTGAATGGACATTTGGCCGGGCAATGATGTTGCTGCAGACTAAGGGTTGCCTCATCCTTGCCATTTTGGATAAAACAAGCCAACTAAGGCAACCCTGAATTGAAAAGCAAACTAGGTTGGCCGGGCAACAATGTGGTGTGTGTCTGTGCGTGTGAAAGCAAATCTGAACGTAGACTTGGACCCTGGACTCAAAACACTTGGGCTAGGTCCCCCAGTAGACAGGTTAGAATAAGGGTACCAACTTTTTCTGTTGTCTATTTGAGACACGGGGAACCCTCCCAACCAAAAAAGGGTAAAAGGGCACTACTGGCAGACCTAGCACTTGGCCGGGCAAGGGAAATCCCCAAAAAGGAGAAACAAACACGAAGAAGCCGACAATGTTCAAGGAACATGCCCAGTGACCCAATTCCATCCCCCCCCCAAAAACAAAAGAGGGGACCACGAAGAAGCCAAAAAAGAAGAAGAAACATGCCCAGTGACCCGAATAGAACGATAATTGCAAGCCAATCAACCCCCTTTAAGCTTGCAAGCGCCAACTTTTCGTGGGTACTGAGCCCACACAAAAGATAGAAACGGAAGCCACTGAGCGACTGGGTTGGGGTGAAGGCGTCTGGGGAGAAATCACGCAGAAACCGGCCAGCTGCCAAAATAGCCACCTGAGGCATACTCCAAACGCAACGGATACCCAAACATTCTTGGAGCCAAAGCATGCTGGAGCGCAAGTCTATGGGAGTTTGAGGATGGCTGATGAACCTGGAGTCCTGGAGACGAGCAAAATACCCCAATCAAATTATGTGCCTGAAGCTTTCTGGGATGACTTGAAGGGGAAAAGGGGCCCTCAAGGGAGGCCCCTTTGGGAGTCATAATCCAAGCACTTTCTAGGCCAATGGATGCCTGGTGTTTCTCTGGGATGACGCACGGGGGGGGGGGGGGTTCTTAAATTGGGGGATCTTAAAAGGGAGACATGTTTCAGGAATTACCCAGAGTCATCACCAAAGAAAGGCAACTTGCTAGGAGCTAATGGCATTATAAATGATTCTCAAGCGATGGAGTCTTTAGATATTTCGGGTGTCAACATGAACAGCAAATATTGTCTGGGATACGCATGTTCAACCATCAAACGAGCTGAAGGCACGCTGTTTTAAGGTGCCATGGTCCAAGCTTGCTACCCTCTCAGACATGTGCAAATTGAGGAATCCAACGGATTTGTGGGAACCTAGAGAGAGATAGCAGTTCCCCAAGTCCCTCTCAACCGGACCATACTGACTGGACATGTCTTGTCAAACATCATACACCCCCCCCAAACCCAAACACCTGCAATTCTACAGGCTGTCTCCAAACAAGGCTAGGCCTGATGTAAGTGCTGTTTGATATTGCAAACAGCCTAAACAGTCAGCAAAAAACAGCAAAACAAAGCTAAAACATGCCAACACAATCAGCCATGGGGCCTTCAACCATGTTGGTCCGTTAGCTTCCATACAGGAGCTTGTGCCTGCTTTTACCCAATTTTACCTGGAGGCGTGATTTAAAACAGTAACAGTGGTCCCTAAAACGGTTGAAACCAAAGGCGCATGCCCACCAGGAGAACCCGGGGCAAACCGACTCTACATTCCCCCTGGTTCTAAAGGTTTATATGCTGTGGAAAAACTTAAAACCCTGCACCAGTAGGCGTATGAAAGCTAGGGCTTCAAGCATCCCAACTGGTGCTGGATTTTGTCCATCCACAGTACTTAAATGATCTGGGAAACAGAAAATGGCCTGCTTTTTCGGGACACACAAGCATTGTTCCCCAACCACAGTGAGTGGGTCATAGCCAGGGTTACTCACCGTTGAATCCGTTCCCCCTATAAATACAGCCTTTTATGATTATTATTACTTCTTATAAATACAGTGTGTGTTTTTTTTAGGGGGTTTCTTGCTATTTGCGGATTTATGTTTTTTAGGGGAGGGTATTGTTAGGGGGAAGGGATGAGCTAAGTCCCCAGGTGTTGTTCATAGCTTCCCCGAGGATCCGGCTGAGGGTAGGAGAGCGCAGCACGCCGGATGCGCTCGAAGAGCAAGTTCCTGTCCTCGACCGGAAATTGATGGACGGCTGTTTGGTTCAGTCGTGAATTTCAACGTGCGTCTTTTGTGTTTTGTCCCTGGTTACTTCGACGCTTTTCTTATATATTCGGCTTTCCCATGCGGGATAAAAATGATACAAATGTTCCGAAGGTTGCCATCATCGTCTTCCGTGGAGCTCCATGTAATGCAATGCTTGTCCATGGTTGAAGGTGTTTTCCTGGTTGCTTGTCGGCTGGTTTGTGCGTTTTGTTTCTGTGCTGTTATGTTGCCTGCTTTTGCAACTTGCTCTGGTCCACATTGACCCCTTGAGGCAACCGGCATTGCTCCCCAGTTATTCAGCTGGGGGAGTCAAGAGTACAAAGCACACCATTCCCAAATGCCACCAAACCGTGGGAGACAATTCTGCCATTAGACAGGCAATCAGGAATTCTCGGGACCCAAAAGTGGATAAGCTATTCAGCTATTGAGCTCGTTGACCCCACTGAGTTCGCTATTTGCGCCGCTTGGGATGGACATAGGGCCGTTCCAGCGAAATGCAAGAGAAACCAAAGCAACTGCCAGAGAAACCCCAGAAAACCTGGAGAAATTTGAGGAGAACCCGGAGAAACCCATAGAAACCGGGAGAAACCCAAGCAAAAAGGGAGACACCCAAGAACACCTGGAGAAAACCTAAGGAAATCCCGGAGAAACCCACAGAAACCGGGAGAACCCGGAGAAACTCGAGAAAACCGGAAGAGAACCCTCAGGACATTCCGAAAAAAATCAAAACCAAAAATCCCAAGACGACCGTGGAGAACCCCCCGCCAATTGTCTCACTTGTCTCTCAGTTTTTTTTCTCCTGGGTGTAGTAGGGCGGCAGGCCGGTGAGCATCTCGTAGGCCAAGGCGCCCAGCGAGTACCTTGCAACTCGGCAACTCAGGGCGGAACCTTCGGTGGACACTTAATATACCCTCCGACGGCCATGGGAAAAACACAGCTGGGTGGTCTCACTTAGGTGGATTAGCGGATCTAACGTAGCATTCAACCCCCCTCCCTGGCCCGGTTTCTCAACAATTGGACAACTAGGCCGTATTTGAAGGAAACCAGGTGGAGGGGCGGGGTTGAGGGGGGGGGGGCGGGGGGAAGAAGGATTGCATTTTATTCTGGCAGGTTAAGAAAATGCCCAAACAACCATAGGCGTCCTTTTAGGGGAAATAGCCTCCCCATATGTGTGTGTGTATGTGTGTGTTGCGTGTTGCGTGTTGCGTGTTGTGTGTTGTGTGTTGTGTGTTGTGTGCGTTGTGTGTTGTGTGTTGTGTGTTGTGTGCTGTGTGCTGTGTGCTGTGTGCTTGTGCTGTGTGCTGTGTGTTGTGTGTGTGCGCGACTTCTGACCGCAGACCTCCGACGGCCATGGGAAAAAACACTCCTGAGTGGTCTCACTTAGGTGGATTGGCCAGAAAAAGTAACCCATCACAGATCATCATAGGTGTCATGGAAGTGGTAGATGATTAAACCACCAGGTAAACCAGGGAAACCCATCTAATTTTCTACCAAACAACCAAGAAGGCCACACGCTTGATGTGAGTGTTCGCGATACTGCAGGAAATGAGGCTCTTTCAGATCAATTCTTGATCAGGAACATCAAGCAATATTCCCACCCACCAACTAACATGGAACCTGACTTTCTGGGGGTCCTGGAAGATCAAGGACTCCCTATGAGACTAGTTGGTGGTCTTGATGACGCACCATGTGCCTTCCAGGAAATCCTTACATTGCCCTGTCCTTCCCCAGAGTCCACCATCCCCACAAGGGAACCGGTGTTTTGACCGGTGGTTCCAAGCAGGATTCCTGCCGGCTCCTTTGTGGAGCCTGGACCGTGCCCAGGTGGCACAGCTTGAAGGGGACACCAAGCAAAAGCGCCACATTATGAAAACCGCCCTGGGTGTGTCTCTCAAAAAGTATGGTACCCCTATACCCCTAATTTGGCAACCCCAACTTGGTGTGTCTCGAACGTATGATGTGTGTGTGTGCGCGTGTGAAAGTACATCTCAACGTAGACTTGCCTGTGCGTGTGAAAGTACATCTCAACTTGGACTTTGGACTCAAAGTGCTTGGGGGTTCCCGGCTTTCCAAGGAGCTCTCCAAATCCAGGGAAACTTCCGACCCAGAGGCTCCCGATGTATTTAGGGCCCTCAAACAGCCACCCCCAAACACCTCTGGGGTGTCCAATGGAGGGGTCAGGTCTTCCATTGAAAGCCCCAGGAGCCTCTGGGCATCAGGAAACGCGCAGAGCTCGCCGAAAGCTCTTGGGTGCTGTTAACCCCTCTGCAACAAGAGCTCATCCACAATGGTTCAACCCAAAAGATCTGTGCAAAGATCCGTTACCAAGTAGCCACAAAGACAGGGATCCTTGCACTACACCTGAACATTGCCTTGTAAATGGTGGTTTCCCTTTATTTTGGTGGAAAAAGCCACGTTTCAATTGGTTGCAACATGTATCTTTCAAGGAGCCCTAAAAGAATTGGACACGAACACAGGCAGTGATGTTTGAACGAGAAATCTAACGCCTCTGCGGCTGCCCAAGCAAAAGCCTGAAAGACCCAGGAAAGGTTCAACAGGAACCGAGTCGAAGAAATTCCGTTTCTGATCGAACCTGATTTGGGCACATTTGGGCCGGCGTGGAAACTCAGATGGCCTGGGGATTCGCTAAATTGATAGGGTTACAAGAGTTTAAGGGGTGGGGAACTAAGGGGGGTTCGCCACTTTGTGATTCCTCCCGGACCCCAACGCGGAGATACATGTCCGAATTTGGTGTTCACCAACCTGCTATCCTGCTATGAGAAAAGGTTTCGGTTTCAAAGCGGTGCGAACGGATTTTGTCCACCGACAGTCTGTCGTTAATGCGAGCCCTCTTTTTGAACTTTCGGCTTGCAGCTTCTGTGCTCTTAAAAAAATCCTCTAAGGCTGGCTTGTCGGGTGTCATGTTGAGGGAATAAAATACCTAACACCTAAGAGTATGTCTAACGCTTAAAAATCGCTCCAAATGAAACACCCTTGTATATTACCCTAAGTCCTCGCAAAAGGATACAGGTACCCTGACTGCAAGTCGGCGTTCTCGTCAAGTTCACCGGCCACAAATTCTTTTAATCCGCAACTCGTGTGTCACCGATCTGCTCAGATCCAGCAATTCAAATGCCCGCATACCACCAGCAGTGCCTGCGGTGAACTGCGTAAACGGCCAATGATGAAGAACGGCCACTCCATGTCATCATTGTGGCGATAAGTCTCCTGATATGGTTGCAGCAAGGACGGGCTGAAGCATTGCGTCTCGAGAAAGGTCTGCAACTCAGTCACTTCGGAGACAAAGCCTGCAGGATGCTGACCCTTGCGGCCGTCGTTCTCTGCAAGCCAAACATCCATACACTCCAAAAAGCTACTCACTGAGAAAGGCGTGTTCTTCATGTCTCGGAAATTCATGGCCCAACTGAGCAGATCACCTTTCTCCGCTGGCCATGCCTCATATGAGTCGAACTGGTGGAATCTCCGAAAGATCAATCCCTGCTCCTGCCAGTCGCGGCAGTAAACCATACTTTCCAAGAAAGCCTCCGTGCCGATGATGGGCGGGTCCCTGCGCAGCAGTGTGACACCCTCCGGCGGCACCTCATCTGAATCTATCAGCTCCTTTGAGCCGGCGACGATGGTCTGCATGAAGCCAGGTATGTGCAGCTTGCCTTCCAGCACCTGCTTCCTGGCCAAAACATATAAAGAGCACAGAATGCTCCACTCTTTCCCCCGAAAAAGTACATATAGTCCTTCTTTCTGGGGCTCCCGGACCTTCAAAAAGTAAACACGTTGCTGGTTGAAAGCGCAAATGGAGGAAACCCAACAAGGAGAAGAGTGAAAAAGGCGAGCTAAGTGTGGCAATGCTTCAGGGTTGCCACATCACGGGGCTCCGGAATGGCCACCTTGGTGCTGACGCCTGACATCTCCTCCACCGCCACCTCGAAAGAGGAGTCCGGAACATCGGCCGGAGCTTTCTCAACGGTGAGGCTTGGGATGCGGGCATCCTCCAGCAAGTGCACTTCAAACCTCAGGTGCGAGGACGTGTCTGCTTTGCCGATGGGAGCTTCTGTTAGCACACTTCAGCGCCCCGTGCTGTAGATCGCAGAGCAAAGCAAACTACATTCCAAAGCAGAAAGTGGCATTGTGTCTGGCTGCATTGCCCTATACTTGTCAGGTCAATGCATCAAACAATGTATACCACAGCACGTTTACAAGCACGTCGCATATCAATGCTGAGTGCTAAATAACACCGATCCAATACGTTGCTGGCCTAATGAACTAAAGGGCGTGGTGTGAGCCTGTCAAACCATGTCAAGCCTTTTAATGCTTCCCGGCCTCTCGCTAGGCCCCTGAGTATTCCCACTTGTTCAGTGACTCTGCTAGAAAAATTGAACCCTTCGAGTCCACGATATTTCGGGGGAAGCCTCCAAAAGAACAGGACGTGCCACTGAACAACTGGGCCAGGGATCTTTATTGGTATCCCTGGACTGGTTGCAACAGCATGGGAACGCCACCCCACAAGATCAGCCAGAACTCCCGCAGGCCAACGCCGGTGGAGACACCTAACCCACACCGAGCAGTGAGAACTTGCTTGATCATGTCACGGCGCGTCAAACGAAACCGTTGACTCATGCCATGCGCTTTTGTCTACTATACTCCACTCATCAAACTGTGTCGCATCTTACCATGCTTTCGCAGATATAGAGCTAGCTCAAGTCATCACTGCATGTCTTCCTACCTTCTCTGGAACAATCGATGCGTTGCGCTGAAGAGGTCCCTATCCTCAAGCCATTCATTCAGGAGTCGAAATGCAAATAAGCAAGGCTGAGCAGGAAGCTTCACAGTGGTCGCCGTGTCTATCGTAATGCTCTCCACGTGCTGCATGTTCAGCTTCTTCACCATTGCCTTCACAGCAAGACCCTGCATACCAGGGTAAAAAAAGATGGCACAATTTCCTTTGCGCGGGTAAGGAAAAGGGACGACTAAACCACAATGGGGGAATTGTGCCATCTACTTTCACCCAACTGAAAGGCAAGACTTTGCTGCAAGAGTTCGGCGCCACAGGTAGATACCAATCTGCACTACTAATAACAAATACATCAAGAGTGCACGGATTTCTATCAGGAACAATCATCTTGGGGCTGATCAAACGGTTCTTTACATGGGACGACTATGGCCATTTGGCTGTGGGTCAAAAACATGTATCGAAAATGCAACCCTGATAAATGGAACCAAAGACTAAAGCCTGCGGTCCCCTGGTGGTTTTAGTTTGTCCCATACCCATTTGGCGGCAACAATCCTCTCTTGGTGGGTCTCCTCCAAAACTGAAGTGCCCCAGTTCCGCCTCCTACAAACCTCGCTCATTCTTTTGGGCGCGGGGCTGCTCTGTTTCAAGAATCATCATGGAAGTGGACAGGCTTCTTTTGGAAGACTACAGCCCTCTTGAAAAGGCACCTTGTCTACTTGTATGGTTGCTGCAAGGAGGGCATGTGCAAATCTGCAATGCGCCTCTACCTGCTCTGCAATGGCTCCATCCGCAGCCATGGCTCTCAGTTTTGTCCAGCGCGGCAACTACCAACTGCTCGAGCTCTCGTCCGGTGCCGCGAAACGGAAAAAGCGGCTGTGAACAGAGCGCAACCACTCTGATACCAATAGAACGTGCTAATGACTAATGACTCATGACTAGTTCTCCACAAGGAGGTTCCCGGGTATCATAGTGGAAACCCACCTCTCATCCGCCCTGGCTGTGAATGACTGCCGTTCGCGGAAACATGTGGATGAACAGCTAGGGGTTTCCTCAATGCACACCCCATTCAGTCATCCAAACACAAAGCCAAACACATAACGCAAACACATAAACACAAATACATAAACAGATGTGTGTGTGTGTGCCTATTTTTATATATTTGTTCGGTACCTTTTTTCCCCTGTGCTCTGACAGGTTAATACCAACAGGGACACATCAAATTCCATGTCTTTTGTGTCCAAATCCTTCCAAAACCACGAAAAAAACAAACACGGGTGTTTTGCTCACCTTACAAGGGATCGACACATCCATCTCCATGCTCTTTTGTTTGGTCCTTGCGTCACCAGATTGCGTCACCAGATGAAATATACATATATATATATATATATATATATTTGTTAAACAAAAGAAGGAGAAAAACGGTCCGCCGCTCTCCGCTCCGATCCGTCCCGAAGTTCCGAAGTCGAATCCAGGGCGCCAGTCCACGGCGCGGCCGTGGCCCTTGGAATCCAAGAGCTCCGGGGCCAAATACTCCGGGGTGCCGCACCTCGACTCGAGCGGCGGGCTCCGCGGGCTGGGTGGCGTGGGTGTGGCCGTTGGAAAGTCGGTTGGGGTTTTCGGGGGGGGGGGGGGGTTAGGAGGAGAACCGTCCAATTTGCGAGTTTTTTTTTGGGGGAGGTTGAGGTTGGAACAAAAAGGAACACCCAAAAAGGAAAACCGCCGTTTGTTGTTGAAAAAGGGACACCAAAAAGGACAACTACTGAGTACTGCTTCTGTTTGAGGCTAGGAGGGTTTGGGGTTGATTCAAAAGGGAGAAAGCAAACATGTTGATCCCGTTTGGCATGGTGTTGAAGGAAAACCCCAAAAAACGCTGAGTGATTGGGAACCAAAAGGAAAACACCCATTAATATTATTATTATTATTTTTGGGGGGGGTCCGATTTGGGTGTTCTCCAAAGGGATCCCTTTGGATATGGTTCTAAAGGCAAAACAACAAGAAACCAACTTCCGGGAGGGTGTGTGGCTTCCCAAATTCGAGGGTACCTGATTTGGGGTTGATTTAAAGGGGAACCAACAGGAAAACCACCTTGTTGATCCCTTTTGGCATGGTTTTAAAAGGGCCCCCTCAAAAGAAAAAAAGAAAGCTGCTGGGTGTTTCTGTGAATTAGGGATCATTTATGGTATGGCTTTAAAGGCAAAACAACAAGAAGCAAACTTCCGCGAGGGCCCCCCAGTTTTAAGAGAAACACTCTAGATGGTTAAGGTTTGGCTTCTTGCCCGTTTTGGGGTTGGCTTAAAGGGAAACCAACAGGAAAACCACTTCTTTCTCCTTTTTTTCTTTTTTGGGGGGGTCCCCTAAAAAGGCGCACCTCAATTTGAAGTAAAGCGGGCAAAGACAAATAGCAAAAACGGCTGCCTAAATACTTCGAATAGGCTTGCGGTTGATACATCCATGGGTGATAGGGGGGTAGTGGGCGTTGGGTGGGCAGGTTTAAAGGATACATCAAACAACCATGGAGTGATGGAGGGGCGGCTTTTTTGGGACACGTCCAAAACCAAGCTGCTTTAGGAAACTCGCGTGATGGGGGGGCGAGTGAGTTTGTGCTTTTGGCAAGTTGTTCCTGGTGGTTCCCTCAAGGGGTGGCTGTGTTTTTTGTGGCGTATCTTAGCCTTTATCTCGCTTGACGTTGGAAAGGGGAGCAAAAGCAGTTAAGTGGGGATTCTCACTAGGAGCCCTCCCCCATCACCCAAGTTTGTGTGTAAAGATGGTGAGACCCCATAACATGGTTGTTGTTGGGAAACATTGTGTATTTGGGCGTTTGTTAAGGTCTGTTCCCTCTAAAAGGGAACCTGGAGCCAATTTTGGAACCCCCCCTCCCTCCGATTTCGCGTCTGGTTCTCAGCAGGGAATGAGAGGGAATCGGGAATGACCCCGACCGGAGCCAGGACCCCCCCCCGCCCATTTTTGAAGCACACCCGGGTCTCAGATGCCCAGTGGATTTCCACGGGGAAAAAAGAATCGGCATCCTTTTTTGGTTGGTTGAGCTTAAAGGGGCACCTTTCAACAAAACACAAAACAAAACATGAAAACATGAAAAAAGGAAGCAACCCGCTGATTGAAACTGGGGGGTGACGTGGGTGATGTCGAGCGCAAGTCCGAAGCCCTAGCGGGCAGGGCACATCGTCCGCGCCGAGAAGTTGTCGCAGATCCCCTCCTTCCGAATTCAATCGGGGCCGCTTGGAACGAACTCGTCAGGCAGTCCTCTACTTGACTCTCTCACTTCTGAACCAGTGGAATTGGCCAAAGAAACGAAACCCGAACTTTTATACATACCGCCGAACATGGTCCAGACCCAAAACGAAAGCCCAGGCGCTCGGGAAGTGAGACATTGCTGGGCTGGGCTGGTTTCGGGCAAAGTCTCAGCTAGTTCCTTTGGATAACTTCCTGCCAACTTTTGTGGTCCCAACCCAAAAAAAAGGACCAAAAGCGCAGGCACTCAGACATTGGCTAGAGGAGTGCTCTTTTATTGCTTGGTTCTCACTGTTCTGGCTTCTTTTTCAATGGCGAGAGGGTGCCTGGTTGGTAGGTTGCAGTCCCGCCTATAAAACCTTGGCGGCATCCTTATTTGGTTGATTGAGTTTAAAGGAGAACCCTTCCCAAAAATATGAAACAAGGGCACCACTGGACAACCGTCCCCCCCCCCCCGAGCAGACATCTCCCAAACCCTGGGAGTCGCGGATCGGGGATCGAAATTTGCGGACCAGATATCAATCCGATCGTCGATCGGTCGCAGGTGTGGCTCATTTTTTCCAGGGCCAGGGCAAACCGCAGTCTTCAGTTCCATCTACCAAGGTGCCATTTATCTACGGGTCGATTCGCCATTCTTTTCAACCATCGTTCTTTTCAAAAACCGGCTGGTTTTTCTGGTTTTCGATGGTTTCCTGAAAAGACTCGGATCCCTGGGTTTAGAATGGACATGGAAGGTACCTCTCGAATTTTGGGCTCCACTTTTTTGAGCAGCGCTCGGCCGCGCACCTTGCTGAGCCCAAAGTCCGTGAGCTTGGCGTGGCCCTCTGCGTCCAGCAGCACGTTCTCCGGCTTCAGGTCGCCTCGAGCGGCATGCGCAAGCGGCCAAATGGGGAGGCCAGGGGAGTCTGAGGAAAAGGGGGGCTGGGGCCCCGTGTTTTGGGGGTTGGCTAGGGAAACCTTTAAAGGGAAAACCGAAAAGCCGAGGTTTGGCCCCTTTTTTGTGTGCCGTCGGTTTGTTTTTCCTTTTGGCTTGGTTGAAAGGGAAACCTGGAACGGAAATGGTGAAGGCCATCGATTTGGAAAGGGCTTTCAGTTCTGAGCTTGTTTGAGGCTGTGATTGATGTTTTGACTTGTGGGGAAAGGGTTTGGTTTTCAGGGCAAGCAAGGAACTTTGTTTGGGTGTTGGGGAGGTTTTAACACATACCCAATTGACAATAATAGCATTCCGTCACCAAGGGTTGAAAGATATCAAACTCCTAAGATAGTTGTACCAACCTGCCAACCTGAGCCATTTAACAGCAATATCTTCCCACCGGCTGGGTGGACGGGCAACGGCCGGATCTGAATGAACTCATGAAGAAACCATGAAACAGTTCAATCAGTTTGCCGACGCAACAGGTATGTGTTTTTCACAATGCGAGCCTCCCAGAAAAGAAGTACGTAATCCATCTCAAGTAAGTACGACGACCACTTTAATCCGACTCGCTTGCAAATGCTTTGAAACATGTGACTTCAACAGGACCTTCATCATGCATCATCATGCGTTAGGTAAGCTCCCGCAAAACGTGCAGCATCTACTCAGACCCCCAGTGGCCACATCCCAACAGTTGACTTCACAAGGCAACCCCCTTGTCCCAAAACAAAGAGCACCGCTGGGGTCTGGGTTTAAGGCCCCAAATGGAACCCGTGCGCACCCGACGGCATCTGAGTCGCGGAAGATAATATTCAAGCTGTGGAGGTACTCCAAAGCCAGCAGTAGCTCGCAAATGTAGAACCTGCCGCTGGATCTATGGTAGCTTTCAAACCCCCCACCCCGGTTTGCCAACAATAGGACAACTAGGCCGTGTTCGAAGGAAACCTGGGGGAGGGACGGGGTTGCGGGCGGGCGGGGGGGGTGAAGAAGGACTGCATTCTAATTCTAGAAAACGCCCAACCAACCAATCTGGGTTGCTTTCTGATCCCCTGCTAAAAGCCTAATGCTTAGTGGTTTAATACGGAAAACATCCATCAGTTGGCAAAAAGTTAAAGTCCTAACATCAAAGCAACATGCGCCAAAGTAACTCGAGACACGGCTTGCTTGGGTTCCGCCTTTTCGCACTCAAAGCGTAGGCCGTGCGGCGAAACAACGACACACCCATACCCCACAACCCAACACATGGCGTAACGACATGCATGCAACGCAACGCAGCACAACACCGCGCTAATATATAGCACAACTTAACAGGGCGCAGCATAACACGTCACACAACAAAGCACGCAGCACCCGTACCCACACACACAAGCAATCACACACACACAGAAACAAATACACATAATACACGAATAAGCAACCAACCAAACAAACAAGCCCAACAAACAAACCAACTTACCAACCAAACAACAAACAAAAGCAACACATACAAGCGCAATAACTAGGGAATCCACAGCGAGTAGAGAAAGATTCAGCCATTAGATCTGTTGGCCCCCTTGGCCAACAAACCTTGAAAAAGGGAAACCCATGGCAGGCCCAAGCGAAAGCAGCCGTTTGTGGAATTTGAGGTTAACCCCAGATTCAGCACATCCCCTAGATACATAAGAGGGTGTCCCCTTGTAGTATCACTTTTGGAGGGATTCGCCCCCCTAGCTCTTTTGGTTTTAAGCCCACAAGGGCAAGCTTGCAGGAACATGAGTCATGATCAAAACCCGGTCTTGAATTGGTCTACCCAGAACCCTGTCTAATTCTTTTCATGGCTCAGAATTAGGCGGGCGGCCGCAGCTATTTCTGGTTGGGACTGTCCCATGAAAATATCTTCATCTACCTCGAAACCGAGGACGTGGTTGACAGGGTTCAAGCCCCGGGGGCCGAAACCGCCTTATTTAAGGCCGGGTCAAAGGCCCAAAAAAAAAATGAGTCCAAGGGGCTAGGAAAGGGTTCCGTTTCAGGTCCTTTTTTTGGTCAGGCCAGAGACAACTCTGAAAAATGGCTGACGCTTCAAACCGTCTTTTAAGGACATATGAGTAGGTGCCAAAAAGGGAGACCCACAAAATTGTGTTCCTGTTGTTCTTTTCTTTTGAACCCCCCCCCGCCAAAAAAAAGGAACCCCCCCTCACAAAACAAGCCCACATGTCTTGGCTGGGATTAGGACCCCAGCAGCAAAAACCGACATCTTTTGCTTGGTTAGTGGAAAACCAACAGGACCCCCAACAAAGTAAAAATGTCAAAAAGGGGAGCTAAGTCTGGGGAAGATGTAAGGAACCACAAAGGAACCTTCCATTTGCTTTTAGCCCCCTGGAAAGAATAAACATTTTTTTCAGAAGTGCAAACAACTCCCTTGAAGCTAAAAAATGGACAAACGAACAAGCGGGGATACGGAGTACGGAGGGAGCGGGGCCTGAACAAATGGAAAATAGAACATATTCTTAACTAGGTCCTCCAGTAGAGAGGTTAGAATAAGGGTGCCCTTTTTTCTGTAGTCTATTTTAGGGGAACCCAAAACCCCGACCAAAAAAGGGGTTGAAAAGGGCACCTAGCTGGGAGACGTAGTGAAGCAAATGGAAGGAACCTCTATCCGCGCGCACGCTTCGGCCCGAGGCTTTCCGTGAGGGGTGCGCCTGGTGCGGCCTTCCGAGAAGCGCCCCGCACGGCTAAGGTGGAAGAAGAGCTCACCACCGGGGCAGTAGTCCAGCACAAGGTACAGCCTCGGGGTCTCGGGGTCTCGCTTGTGGGGGTCTTTGATCCACATTCGAAGAGACCCGGTCAGTAGAAACTGGAGTCGCTCTTGGCGTTTTTGTGTGTAGGGTCCTTGTTGGTCGAAAAAAGTGCCTAGGTCTAGCGCCCTTCCCTTCACTTGCGGGGTGTGTGTGTGTGTGTGACTTGTGACCCTAGACCTCCAACGGCCATGGGGGAACAAAACACCCCTGGCTGGTCTCACTTGGGCGGATTGGTCAGAAAAAGTCTTGGTTGCTGTTGACCCCTCTGCAAAAAGCTTAACTTTTTGTGGGTTTAATGGTAAACCCCTTGACTTCCCAAGAAGCTAAAGCAACCCAATAGCAGTCAAGAAGTAACCCATGTTCTTGGCACAAAACTGGTCTTTCCACAAAGTATGAAGCCTAGGCACTCAGCAATTCGCCTAAAGGCATGGGATAAGCTCCTCAAGTGACTTGCTGGTGCTCAGTAGGTAATGACCCTTCCGGGTGTTGGGAATAAACCTAGGGATTCCCTGTAAGGAAACCACACAGGATGTTGTTTTGGGGCGGCATTCCCTCATTTGTGCTGAGAACCAGGCTAAGGGACCATCATGGTTGCTTCCGAATCGGTGGGCTCCGAAGCAGATTTGCAAATCCGCCGAGCCACTTTTTGGGTGTTTGGAACGCGTAGTGAAGGGAGACGATGAAGGGATGTGAGACATGCTCCAGCACGTTCCGCTCCGTCTTGGTGTGCTCCACTTGGTTGCCTCAAACAAATTGCGCGGGACTTGGAAGACAGAGGTCCATCATGCCCCAAAGAAGACTAGGTCATGTTTCATGTTTTCCTTGACTCAGCCAGGGAAAAAGGCAGCGGTTGCGCATGGCCAAGGGGCGGTTGAGCACGTGCTCTTTCCTGAGCATCTTCATGGCATAGAGCTTCTCTGAGCCCGAATCCTTGTGACCTCGGCGCGTGGTTCTGGAGGAAACCAGGCTTTGAGGATGTCAGGTTCTATGGATGGGAGGGTCGACTCCAAAACTTCGTTGACATCACCTGCCAAAAGGTAAGCACGATAACTCAGGCCGAGCATCTCAGGAGTTGCCCTAAACTGGAAATGGACGCCGTCCAGGACCAGCCAACAACTGCTTTTCCCATCTTCAACCCTGTTGAGGGACGCCTTTTCCAGCAGTAAGGTATCGCGCTCGTGATCGTTTAAAGGGAAAGGCAATGAAAGGGCTCCCCTCCTGGCCCTTTTGAGTGGGGTTCAAGAGGGGGGGCATCCCTAATCCGCAATCCGCCACCACGACAACAAGATAAAAATCTGCACATGGCAAAGGGATTGAGGGTTGGCTTAAAGCCAACCCTCAAGCCCTTTGCATGTGTAGATGTTTCTTTGGGACACCCAAGCTGAGTTTCCCAAAGGAGCCACCAAGAAAAGCTTCGCCTTTTTGGGGCCATGACGAAACATGGCCCACAAAGGGGCACCGAAAAGCAGAAAGGTCGGTTTTGGGTCAGTGAGACCATCGGTCATTTGTCACAAGTCGGCCGTTGAAGCGGATCACTAGAGCCAAGCCAACCGACAGAGAGGCAGAGAGACAAACACAGAGCGACACACCAAACAGACCGAGAAGCGAACAAACCAACCGACCGACCGATTGATTAACCAGCTCAAACAACCAACCAACAAAGCAACCAACCATCCAAGGCAACCAACCATCCAAGGCAACCAACCAAGCAACAACCGACCAACCAACTAACCAACCAACCAACCAACCAACCAACCAACCAACCAACCAACCAACCAACCAACCAACCAAATAAACTACTTAAATAAAAACAAACAAACAAACAAACAAACAAACAAACAAACAAACAAACAAACAAACAAACACAACAAGCACACAAACACACCAAACAAAAAAACACAAACAAACAAAAACAAGCACACAAACAAATAAACAAATAAATTAATACGCGAAAACCAAACACACAGAACAAACAAACATAACAAACAATTAAACACACAATAAGACAACCAATCAATCAACGAAACCAACCAAATCGACCAAACAAACAAACAAACAAGCAAGCAAGCAAACAAACAAACAAACAAGCAAGCAAATAAATACATAAACAAACACACACACAAAATAACAAATAAAACCAACCAACCAACCAAACAAAGTAAAACAATACGTATATATATATATATAACAATCCAAACAGAAACGCAAACACACAAACACACAAACCAAACAAGACCACAGGCGACAACAAAAAGAACAACAACAAAGAAACACACAAACAAACCAACCAATCAAATAGTTTAATAACTAAATTAACCCGCCAATCAATTAAATGAACACACAAACAAACAACCAAACCAACAAATAAAGAAATACATAAATAAAACACCGGTCAAACCAACAACAAACACACACACACACACACACACACACAAACGTGTGCCTTGGATCGCCTCTTTTTTTTGCCGTTCGGAGCGGCGCACCAAGAAGACCTTGCCGTAGCTGCCTTTCCCGAGCACCCGCAAGCTCTCGAAGTCATCCAAGCCAGGAGTTGGCTTTGCCATACCTGAGCCAGCGAGCCGAGTCGCTTGCGCGCGCGCCGAGTGGGAATGAACTGCAAGGTTTCCCAGTAAAGCCGTATTGTAAACGGGTACCCCTTTGCTGTTGAAATTTTGCCAGGTGGTTTCTTTGCCAATGGAAATTCGGAAGTGACAAAAAGTAAAGACTTCCCTCTGCTTGCTGGTGCGATGAGTAGGGAATGAATTGGAATGGACCTGGACCATAAGGGGGTGGTTTTTAGGGGTCATTCCCTCATATTTTGCCTATCGCTTAGTAGGGAATGACACAGAGGTTGGGAATGAACCCAGGTGTTCCCTCAAAGGAAACCACAAGTGATGGTTTGTAGGGCTCATTCCCACTACCGAGCAGCAAGTCGTTTTCCTATGCGTTCCGGATTCCCACTCGCAACTGGTGTTGACTTTTCCCCCTGCGCTTTTTCTGAATGCCACTTGGCAGTCCCTCTGAATCCGTCCGTCCCAAGCCCGCCCTTGCGCCAGTTCGCAGCCCGAGTCCGCGGAAACCTCAGGAGATACCTTGCGGTTTCCCCCCGCCCCAAACAAACAAAACAACAACCTCTAGGCTGAGATCTTGAAAAGGCCTCCTGACGTGCACTTCTTGGCAGTGGGGGAAGTGCAGTCGTCTTGGCTTCCCTCTAAATCAGTAAGACCAGGATACTGTAAAAAGGAAAAAACAGAAAAACGAGCCACCCATATACGTACAATAATGTCCATACCTGCAGGCCACTTCAAAAACGGGCAATGCGTTGAACATTGATTACTGTGATTCTTTCACTTGGTTCTCCAAATGCTGTACCATACCCTAAAGTTATTTCAGTGACACCTGTTGCCTTGTTGCTGTCAGCGAAGCTCGAAACGAGGGCGCATGCTACAGAATATATATATACTACATGTTTCATGTATCATATCATATCAGGTGTTTCCTAAAATCGCCTTAGCCGTCTTGAAGGTAACATAGAAGGGACTTTCGAAGACACACGTTCGGCACGTTCCCATTAGACTTCCCTCCTTGCGCCTTTGGGGGCAGTCCGACATGATGTTTCGGATCAAAACGTAAAGCTACAGTGCATGCCCCCCAGCCATATTGCAAGTAAACCAACCATACTCAAACACAAAACCATCGTAGATTTCGGGAAACTAGATGTCTTCCTTGTCAAGCCAAAGCTTGCAATAGGGCATCCGTACCAGCGGATTTGGTTGGATTTGCTTGGGCCGGGGCCTTTGGCTTCTCCAGAAAGGCAGGGGCATCCAGCAACGCAGAAGCTGTGGCAACCAAAAAACCAAAGGGAAGCCCATTTTTGGGTTGCCCTGTGTGGAAACAGGGACCACTCACTGGCTGAGTGGATGGTCCAAAAAAGTACCCAAACTTTATATTTACCACCAAAATGATCTTCCCCAAAAGTTTAAAGTTCATAAACCCGCGGTTTGACCCCCTTGTTTAATTTTGAGCCACAGTATAGAGACACAAATGGAAAGGTCTCCGCTTGGACAGACTCCAAGCAAACCTCCGGCCACGGGCATGTGTCCCAAAGGGGACACACCCATTTGGAGGAAACGTTCACATGAAGGAAACCTAGAAACAGGACACAAAAATTGGCGGTACAGCCGAGCTGCTTCCTTGAAAGCTGCTCTCTCAGATCGTCAAAAGCTGCCAAGAGCCGAAAGGCTGAGGGCCGAGCGCGGCTTCCTGTACATCTAAGACAGCTTCCAGCCTCAAAATCATGGCCCCACAGAGCTTCAATGGGATCAGTTAGACAGCAACTAGATAAAGAATATGCACCCGGCTTTCCACTCAGGGTGATGTGGGGGGTAGTGGAGACACTAGGAGAATTGCAACTCCGAAGCCGGACATAAGGATCCCCATATTTTTAACACCATGCTTATCACCCGAGCATTTTTGGCCCAGAAGGGCCACGTAGATGCCTGGTGATGGACCAATTGCCGCCATGCCGATCTTAGCAAAAAATCCGCTTGGATGCCTGCAGAGAAATCACAAGAACTGAGCTGTCCTTGAATTCCCCGCTAAAAGTGACTAACTGTTAGTGGGCAAAATGGAAAACCAACCATGCACTAAACACTAAAAGGCTGAAAAGCTGAGGGACCGGATGGCTGGGAGCCACCAAGTAAATCTACCTAAATCTGGAGGCCGTCCTGCAGCCCTCGCTTGCGCCATCTGCTTTGCCATGTCAAGATGAAACGCAGAAGTGCCCAAGTGCCCCAAACTTCGGTACTCACGAGTAGGTTGGCCAACGAAAAAACACAACTTGGCAGTTTCCAACTAAACTGTCCTCCCAAACGCATGAAGCATCAAAAGAGGAGTCCCTGAAAACGGGGCACTGGTACAATTTGATTCGTTGCGCACACCCCTTTATGAAAAAAAACACCCCCAACCCATCAACCCCTGCTCCCAATCAATCCAATTCCTCCCAGGATACCATCAACCCCCAAACAGCCCAAATACCCCCCCTTTTGCAATAAGAGACAAAACCTGGCCCGCGATTCGCTTTGGCAAGGACACCAAAATCGCCTGCGATCGTCCACTCGTTCGCACCGCGCCTCGTTTTGGAACTTGGTGCTGTGAGGTGAGAGCTCTAAAACGAGCTCCAGCCTCGATGGTTCGTTCAACGTCCCAAACCAGTGGTAGTTGTTTTTCTGGACCCTTCGTTAAACAAAAACACTACACCATTCCATCGGGGCAATATCACAAGTTCAAGGGTGGTAGTCTGCACTTCCCCCATTCAGGGATCCGTCTCGGAAAATTGGCCAAACACCCATGGAATCTTGATGGTGTTCCAAGAACATGAGGGGTTGCCTTGCACGTAAGCCTCAGTTTAAACAGGGGGGCCCCACAAATCCGAGCTTTGACCGAATTCCTGACTGTACTGGGTTGAAAGGACTGGGGAGTATCGTCTTCCATAAGAACTCTGCTAGTCAGCGCCGCACAAACCGCACACAACCAACCGGCTGAAACACCCATACATCCCCATGCATGTGCACCAACGTGTTCCCGGATTGAAATGCATGCCCGGAAGGGTTGCACTCGGCCCCTCGCAGGCAGAAACCTTCCCTGAAGAGGTAGCCAAGCTGGTCGTCGTCCATGTCCTCTCGGCAAATGTTCTTCCCCCTTCCCAAGTGGTGCTGACAGGACGGACATATTGGAAAACCAACAAGACCACACAAACAAGACCTACTTTTTTTATATAAGCCAGCTGCGAGGAGTGGCTTCGAAGCGCTGAAACCACCTCTATAATCGTCCTGACATGGAACATGCTCAAACAACTCTGCCTCTCCTTCCTCAAGACGCATAGCACTCGTCCACACAACAGTTAAGCGAGAAGTTGATGTGTGCTTGACTGCCAATGGGACGAGATGACCTTTTCAGTGAGTTCCAGAGTGACCTGCCAGAGAGGCAGCGGCTTTGCAACTAAAGCCAACGCACAAGGCGCGGGGGGGGGGGGGGGGCAGGACCCTCAGTTCCATGTAGCTATTCCCGCATAAAAGGAAAATCAAGCCATCAATGGAGATCTCCAGGGGTCGTTTTCTCCCCCGTTCATGGCCGGATCTTCATGGCATCAGTTGCAATGGGCACCTGCAAGGGGACGAAGGTTGACCCCAGATTCATCAACCAACCAATTTATTAAATTCGGGGGTGGTTTTTGGTGGCAGCGCCTCCTGGCGGCCGTGCGTTTTTGGACCTTGGGGGGGTGGGGGGGTGGGGATGATAACAATCGGAAGGACTTGCAAGCAGCTCATCGGCAAGTTTTGCATGTGCATGTGCGTGAAGACACGCGACAGTGCAGGCTACGCTAACACGCCTGCGATCATGCACTAATGTGTTTGCATGGCTGTGGAGACGTAAGCAAACCACACAATCGTACAAGGCTCTGGGTGTGCTTTGCGGAAAACCCCGCTGAAAACGTTGAGAGCACGGAGGACTGGCCGAAAAAAGCCTTGCCGTGCACACGAAACCTCTGAAAACCACTTGTGAGCTGACAGTTCCACACTTTTGAGGTGTTCAAAACAACATGACCAAATATTTCCTGTCAAACAGGCTGTGTTTTCGCAGTGCTCATCATGAAGCCGCGTTGAAGCCCTGCGTTGCCTGCACGGCTTCCTCAAGGCGCCGGCACCTGGTTTTTGGCCCCTCAAGTGGTCTGATGCCAACCACATTTCACCCAGGAAGAAGCACCCCCCTATCTATAAACTGGTTGCTTGACGATGATTCGTATGGGGTCAACATGTGGGGCCCGGCCATCTGACAGCCACAATGTGGATTTGGTTTTCGCTGTTGATCATATCCACCCGCAGCCTCCGTTGAGAAAAGCAAGGCGCAAGGCAAAACCATCGATAGTTGTAGTCAAAACTGGGCTGGTTCATGGGAAAACTGTTTTGCTGACAGAAAGGCTCAATAGATGCAAGGTGCTACAAGGTTGAAGTTTAAAGGCGACCAAGCAAACAACAAGAGGTCGAAGACCACACAAACCAAGCCCCTTGATGCTTGTGGTGGGAAAGGTCCTTTGCTTACTTGCCTGCAGGAACCAAAAACCGACTTCGCTTTGACGGTTTGGTGGTTTGGGTTGCTGGTTGGGTTAGGTAGTGCATTCCCATCAGTAAATTGGCGGGTTCCAATGATAGCTTTAAAAAGGCACACCCGATTTAGAGGGAAGCAACAAAACCAACCCTAGGGGGAGACAACATGAACCCAAACAACCTGAACAGGTTTTCCTTTTGGTGTCCCTTTAAAGTGACCCCAGCAAGGTATACAAATTGTTTTAAAAAAAACACCTCAAAACGTGGGCGTCCTGACCCCAAAAGGGCAATCCAAACTCAAAAAACCACAGAACCCTCCTCCGTGAACCCTCCCTGAAAGCCGCCAACCACCCCAATTCCGAGCCTATCTGGGCCTATCGACGCCCTTGAACCAGCTGGGGAAAACAAATACCCATCGACCTAGCACGTCCTCGAGCAGCTCCATGGTCAAGCCCTCATTGCGCTTCACCGCTGCGTAGACCTGCGAGCCCCCCGAGACTCGCAGCGCGCCAGCGCGCGAGGAGAGGAAGGGCTGTTACCCCGGGCTGGGCTGTCCGTTTTCTGATCCCCTGCAAGATTGCGGTTTCTGTGTAGAACTTGTTTTTGTTCCACTCAGTGCCCCTAGTTCTTACGTTTTTTTTTCCCGCAGACATCAGTGACAAAGTTGAACCGTTTTCTGATACCCTGATCCCCGGCAAAAAAACAAGAGGAGAGGGCATATGTAAGCAGTTTCCCTAGTTCTTACGACGTTTTTGCAGACAGTGAACAAGTTGCAAAGAAGTTGCACACCCAATTTCGTGCTGAACAATTACGTGTACAGTATATGAGTGCTTTACAACGTTTACAAGTGGTGCTTTTCTGGAACCCCCAGAATAGATGGAAGTGCACTTTACACTTCTGTAAGCTCGCTGTTATTTGCCCAACATTTAAATTTGGGCTTGACTGTAAACACAGTCTTACATTTGCTAACGTGTATCTGTCTTGTTGTTATGTTTTGCGTTTGCAGCGCAAAGGCATCGTATACATTGCTTCGGCTTGCGTTGCTTCTTGATTTGCATTGTCATGAAGGTGCGCAAGCCCTTTTGGCAGCAAACAAACACCTTGGCGCCAGGGTACTGATACCTGCCTGAGGGGACTCCTGCCAGCGAATGTTCACTAAAGTGTCGAGTTCCTGCCCCTGTTTCACTTGCCAAATAGCAACGCCTGCCTTCCCACAGCAAGCGGTCGAGAGACCACAAACTAAAGGACGCAGGGTGCAGCCTGCTGGGTGCCAGTTGGCCTTCAAACTCTTCTTCCAGGACTTCATGATTAGACGTAGGCCCAGTTGTAGAATGTATATTCTATGGTTGCTTCCCTTTGAGTCACTGGAAAAAATGTAAAATGCATTCTAAGTCTACCCCAGACTTCACCAACAAAATACATCGAAGTCTGGAATGGGCGTGACAAGTGGCATCCTTTGGTGGACAGCAGAGGCGAGTCGGGCTAAGGCGTCGGGATATCAGACCCCATAGTGAAAACCAAACCTGTGGCAATAGCGAGCTGTGCTTGTTTGCAGCGTCCAGTCAAAGCGAACGAAACAAGAGCACACTGGGTTAAAGTGACATCCTCAAACTGGCCATGGGTCAAAATCCCGTACCCCCCGGTGAACATCCCAATCCCCACTAACACCTTCCCCAAAATGGTATCATTGGTTTTGACCCAAAGCCAACTCAAAGCCGACACCCACCCACAACGTATTCTTGCAAACCCTTCGGCACGCTCCCTTTGATGAACCCAAACACACGTTTAATTTGGCACAAGTTAGCAAGTGCTTAGCTACATTCGAGCCTACTGCCTCCAATTCGTGACTTGGATTGGTGATTAGGTGAGGGAGTGGTTTCCCATCTATCCTCTACAAGAACCAGGATTTCAAATCAGTCCAAACCGGTTTGTGTTTGAATGAAGGTGCTACTCGGCTGCGGGGAGCAACACATGGCAAACAGCTGGTTGCCAACTCGCAATGGGGGCGGTTGTTTCAATAACCCATCTTAACATTGGGATATTTTCAATCAAAGCGATCCGAATTCCCACTAGAGGCCACATGCCCACTGAGAAATCAACGAACAGTTTTTGAATCACTTGGTTGCCTTTTGACATTTACAAAAGAAACCTGCCACTCACTTCCGTGGCTTGGCAAAACAAGTACCCTCCCCCATGGAAGCTCCCGAACGGACCCCGAAATGGAAGACTTGTTTCCATGTACGGAGGCCTCCTGGGAGCTTCCATGTTACTGGGCTGCCCTCAGATCCCCCGCTAAAGGTTTAACTTATTTTAGTGAGATAAAAGCGAAACTACCACTAAACACTAAAAGGCTAAAATCTAAGGGGATGGCTGGGAGCCACCAAGGTTAGTCCGAGGGAGTGTAAACTGTTTTTGTACACCACCGATCTGGTCTTGGAAACATGGATCTGCTCCCGCCCCATCTCCCGGCAAGCGCCTCCGACGGATCTGCCTGAAGGGAGACAGCAACCACCCTTCAGCAAATTGAAGACTTGGTTGCCGTTCTGTGGATGGCTACGCGACATCCGCGAGTCTCGCACCAGCGAAATCAGAAACCCAACTGATATTTTGTTTTTCTGATTCGATTCCCCGTGTAAATCCCAAACAGCGTTTCCAACCATGATTTCAAAGTGGTGCAAAATGGATTTCGCAACCATCCACTGCAGCACCACTTTTGGAGGGAACATCCCCCTAGGACGGGTTTTATCCGGGGTCAGCATTACACAAAAAAAAAACAATGATCTGACTCTGTCCCATATTTAGTCTACCCTAAACCGTAAAGTAGTTTTGGACTCCGCCCTTTCAGGGCTTCATAGTCATATGCCTGGCCTGGTTCCTCACGACCCCAAAGAAATCAAGCACGCGAAGTAATACTTCCCTCCGAATGGTCAGGGGGAAATGGATTCAATGGATCTTGGGTGTCCATTGGGAACTACAAATCGCCCATGAGTTGTGCCAAGAAAGAGCACCAGGGGGCGGGTATTCTCCATTTGCTTACGTCCTCCGGAAAAAAATAAAAACATACTTCCAGTAGTGATAGATTCCCTGTAAAATCAACAGGTAAAATCAAACATATTCTTAACCAAATGGAAGGTATGCATGTGTGTGTGTGTGCGTTTCTTTCCTTATCAGACACCCTGTTCCTCCCAGCTCGGTCAGGCAAGCGCCTTTTGGTGTCCTTGTGGTCTTGATGACTCTTTGGAAAATCGGGCATAAAGCCCGCCAAACCAGTGGAACCCAGATATTTATTATCCAAAACTCGGGTTTCCCTGGGACAACTAGGGCATAAAGCCCAGAACCGGCGGAAGCCATCAAGCTGAGCTCATCAGCGCATCAGCGCGCTTTCGGCGCGCCTGGGGCAGCAAAAGCCCGTGGAGGGGCGTGCCCAAGGGCACAGCCGCCAAGTTCTCATGGGTCACCTGGCATGCCCCCGACCTGTGCTAGGTCTTAGGTGCTCCAGAGAGGCTAGAATAAGGGTACCAACTTTTTGCGGTAGTCTATTTTAGTTGGGAACCCTCCCACCCAAAAAAGGGTAAGAAAGGGCACCTAGCTGGGGGACCTAGGCTGTGTGGGGGACTCACGCCCCGGGGCGGATCCAAGGGGAAAAAACGCGTCCAACAGGGCGGTCATGCGGACCCAGGGCATCCTTTTATATCTGCTTTTTGGGTTGGAACCAGCAAAAAGGTACGGAAACCCATCTCTACTCTTGGTATGGTAGCAAAAAAACTGACTGTTTGTTGCAGACCCCCAGTAAAAATGAATAGAACAATGAAGAACCCTCAAACACGGCCTTGGAACTTTGAACAAGCCTTCGGTTTAAGAGAGACCTCCGAAATCGGAAAATCCGGGGGACCCTTTTATCGGGTTCGTTCTGCACAAGACATGTTACTAACTTGATGTACTTGTCGCAAACGGTTTCCGGTTTTTATCCAAGATGCCCAAAAACCTTGTTTGTTGCCAGGCCCAAAAAGGGCAAGCAAGTATCTAAAAAGAACGTGGACGCTGACTGGGGCTTCTGGATCCCGGCAAACCCGTTTCTGTCACACAAGGCGGCAATGGTCGCTTTTGCCCCTTTGATGTTGCCCGCAGGTTGACCCAAGCATCTGCTTTGAGCTTGTGGAAACAGCGACATTGTTTTAACATCATTGACACACGTATTTGTTGTTCATCAGGGTAGCCTCTTTGATGGAAATCACTCCTGTGATGAAGCGGGGTTCCCGTCCCTTTGGCTACATCATGTTGAAGGAGATCCGTGGCAACCTAAACCACAAACTTTAGACACTGCATGGTCATGGCCTGGTTGTCCAGCCCAATCCTGTGCACTCCAAGGCTCCGAGACTGCAGCACAAAGGGCACCGCAGCACATGCACCCATACCACTCTTGTTTGCAGGCACTTCTCATCCAATCATGGTTCAGGTTTTTCCATGTTAATATGGAGTGCTATTTGGGTGGCCCCCTTCCTCCTGAAGCCGACGAATTGCACTGGCAAACGCTTACCAACGATACGTACACAAGGCCTCTTCTTTGGAGTATGCATTTTGGCGCATGGGGTAGGCGTGGATTTCCAGGGAGCCTCATTTCTCTAGGGGGAGCTTCCCCATTCTTTCCAGGGATCCTTCTTTTCAGGAAACCATCAAAACCCCAGGAGAAACAGCTGGTGTTTGAAAAGAACCATGGATAACGATGGTTGAAAACAATGGGGAATTCAACTCTAGAATTTCAGTCCCCTTTAACACATCGACCCACGCACACACACACGCTCGAAGATGTTTGTTCTTCGCCCACGCTCATAGCAAGCAGGACTCAGGCGCCATGCTCCTCTACAGGTCCACCGCAACGGCGTTGAAACGCCTGAACCCGTGGTATACGTTGGCCTTACTTGGCGTTTCCCTCCCACCAATTAACATGGAGCCCGACAGGGAAATGGTCTCTTTGAAAGGAAATTTGTCTTCCAGGTCAGGTTCCATGTTATTTGGTGGGTATGTGGCCCCTGTTGGTCTCTTGTGGCCAGTTCTTGACGTTCCGCGCCTTTGGTTGCAACTGGAGCAAGGGCAGCCCTGTAATGTTTCGCAACTCAGCGGGGCTTTGTGGGTGCTCGTGGCTGCATCACTTGCACCTTTTTCTCGGTCCATGAGACAGGGTTTCCCATATTTCCCTTTAAACATCACCCCTGATTTGGATTGGACGTGAAGAGAGACGGTTCTCATTTCTCCGAGAACCAGGGTAAAAAAACCCAACCACCAATCAAGGCTTATCTGGGAAGAACTTACTTGCCCAAAGGACGCGGACATACAAGGTTAACCTTTTGGGGCCAAAGCCAAAAGGTTGAAAGGTCGATTCGCTTTGGGATCCCTAACTGCCTAGAAAACCTGCCGGGTCCTGCCGAACGGACCGGACCTGTCCCCCTGAGGGCGCGCCGTGGAGTGCTAGCTCGGAGTGAAACGGGAGCATCAAATCTAACCAAAGACTTGCTCATGTTTGTGTTTGGCGGTTGCTTTTGAACCAACTCCTTACTCTCGATCTTTGATGGTTGATTTTATGATGGTTGAAATTGGTTGCTGATTTTGACACAGCCTCACTTTAGTTGTTTCGTCGCTTGTTCTTGAAGCAACCTTAACTGTGCCCCCTCCCGTTCTCTTCAGAGATCCTCTTCCGGTAAAAGGATGGGTGATTTCCGAAGACCTGCCATTTGAAACCAAACAATGCAAGCGCCCCCCTAACAAAGCTCACTTTCGCCTTGAACCCCATGCAGAGACACCCCACAATATATTCCAAACTCATGTCGCGTGTCTTCAGCGCTTTGTGGAACTGAGACGCGCAATCGTGCTGTCACCGAATCCCTTTAGCTATGGGCCCATCGAGTTTGGCCTCACATGCAGCTTGAAGGGGGGGGTGCAACGTAGGGGTCCGTTTTTTTTTTTGTTTAACTCTTGCCGCTTCCTGCAACACGGCAAATATGGCTGAATCGTTGAGGCACCATTCCTTCCGGGAATCAAAGAAGCCTCCGTTAGGCAATACACGTTGCGGCAATCTGAATGAAGCGTGCTGCTCCTTACAAGCCATGACGCAGAGTCATGCTTGCCCCTGTTGCTGGCTTCTTCAGCCTATGTCCAAAATTGGAAAGTGCACATGGTGCACGAAATGGGCATTATGGCTCCTTCCGTTCAGCGCGAACACTGCAAAACTGCCGTTGGCACATCCTGGCGCGGCCAAATTTGGGCTATGCGCCGGAAAGTGCACAAAACGAGAGCGCACGTGCACCTGAATGCGTGCTGCATCTCAGAGCTTACGCATGTTGCTGCATGACTGGAATTGAGGTTGATTCCGTTCCAGTTTGAGCTTCTGGATAAAACTGACTGGACCTGTCAAACAAATCGATTGGCTGCCTTGAGATGGGAGAGTGATTGAAACAGCGACTCAGGCCACGCTGATGGCATCGACAGTGAAGTGTATCAAGCCTTGGCCGCCGCGGAACCTTCGTTCTCAGCTTTGGTTCGGGAGTATTGACAGACTAACAAACCCTTCGATTAATAGGTGTCGCATTCAAGAGGGAATTGGGGCAGCAGCCCCAATAAGCCACCAGCTTGATTCTGGGTCAACATTAAGGTACGCAGGTGGCGACCGTGAGGCTTCGCAAGGGGCTAAACATTGCTAGGCAATAAACCTATGCACTACGAGAAATCGCCGACCACCAGTAGCCCCAGGCATGATATCGGCAGGTGGCACCTCGAGACCCTATTGAAAGGCTCCTCACTTTTGAGTGGGCTTAAAGAGAAACCCGCTGCGGGTGTTCCACTTTAATGGGCTTCCCCAAACGTAAGGCCAGGAGCTCAGAAAGTGAGGCCGCTCAAGTTCAGCCACAGCACTGCGCTGAGTTGTTGTCTGGTGGAAACTGGTCTGCCAGGAACTGCTTCAAACAGTACCTCGACTGAAACGTCGCACGTGATCTGAGCAACTTCTCTCGTGAACCGGAACAGCACCCATCTTCTGGACAAAAAGAAACTCGAAGAACGTCAGAGAAAACACGAGACCCAAGGAAATCAAAGGAAGTCAAAGAGAACCAAGCTAGAAGAAGCTGACCTATTTCCAGGGAAGCCAAACCGAAGGAAACCACAGGAAGTCAGAGAAAAGAGACCTGTGAGAGGAAACCAAACCACAAACCATAGGCAACCACAGGAAACCACAAAACCACAGGAAACCACAAAAAACCACAAGAAACCACAGGAAACCACAAGAAACCACATTAACCGCAAGAAACCGCAAGAAACCGCAAGAAACCACAGGAAAACACAGGAAACCACAAGAAACCACAGGAAGTCAGAGAAATGCCCCATCAACGGAAACCCAACCAAAGGCACCTGACCCAAATTGGTCGCCCTTTGCCGGTCGAGGCCAGCGCTCCACAGAGGCCACCGGGTCGCCAGCATTAGGTCCTCACCAGCGAGCCCCCTCCCCCCCAAAAAAAAACACGTTCCCTCTCCCCCCCGCCAAAAAAAGCAACTATATAAATAAGCAAAACAACACTATAGATAAGTAAACAAATACATAAACATAACTAAATGTATTTCAGTGGCACTTCCCCTCCAAAAGCTGCAGTTGGCTGGACAATTCCGGCAAACATGTAAGGATTGGAGGTTCAACACGTGTACAGTCAGGCACCCCTGCAAGGATTGAGGGTTCAGCTGGAATTTCGAGGCCCCGCATACGCCAAAATGGAATGCCAGGGTCACATATCTGCAAGCTCAAGTCGTCAAGCCAAAGGCCTCAGGGTGGTCTTCGGGGTGGTGGTGGTCCAAAGATATTGAAGTACAAGGAAAGACACGGGGAGAATAAGATGTCGGAGGTACATATCTATTGATGTGGATGGACAAAGTCCATTTCGCACCACCCAAGAAACAATGGGGAACCATTGTTTGTTGGCATTTTACAGGGGGAATCATTATTTTCAAGGTTTCTTAGGTGGTGCAGGATTTCCTCCATCCACAGTAGGATTCACAAATTACAAGCACTAGAGGCAAAGGATTGGTCACGCCCATGCGGCGATTGTGGACGGACTAAAAGTACTGAGGGGAACTACCCAACAACTGGTGCAGTTTAATGGCCAGCAGTATTGAAGCCTTCCAGCATTTGCCAACAAATGGTCTTAAACAAAAACAAAAAACTTTTGCCCTCAAAGCAACACATCTTTGATTCTGGTGCATTTGTTGCGAATCCTGTGTGAATGCACCAAACCAAGTCCAAGTGGAATCTCCCACAGCAAGCCTTCCCGAACGCCCCGAGTCGCTCTGGCACCTGGGAAAATAGGTCCCAAAGCTTTCAGCTGCTATATAGGGGGGGGGGTCCAAAAAAGTGGCGTCCCGGCGGTGGGGGATTGGGTCAACATTAAATCCACTCCAACATTGGTGTTTTGTTCAGGCCAAAAAGCCAAAATCACATTTTTTGTTTCACTGTTCCTTCTTTTGTCAGGCCAAACATCCAACAAAAACACCAAGTCACTTTTCCTGCGGCTGTTTTGTAAGGAGAAGGACACCCACTCCGAAAAGGGGACGGTGCTCCCTGTGTGGCCATAAATCGACGTGTGAGAGTCCAGATCCGCGGAGGTGCGGACCGCCTTCTTCATGGCCTGAAGCGTCCAAAGAAACCAAAAAGGGAGGGCTGGGGAAGTGGCACTGAACAACCGTTTTGGGTTGTGTACATGGCTTGCTTGTTGCTTTTTTTGGTTAAGAAACCAAAAAGGGGAAGGGTGGCACTGAACGAAAGGGGTTTTGGGCTCATGTGAAATGTGGGTTTCGTTTTTCCCCCGAAATTGGGTTGCTGGTCACCGTTTGCGGGTTTAATGGAAGCACCATTTGTTTCCAAAAAGTCGCTATATACCCTTCGGGATCACACCAACGACCATGTTCTCGCAGAAGCAGGGACAAATGACCGCTGAAGTAAACAAAGGGACCACTTAGTACTTAGACCCAGACCCACCAAATATGCAATTCTAATAATCCCTTGTGCTTTGACCTCTCTGAGGACCCCCACTTTAAAGTAGTCTTCCACAGGTTCTAGTTGCTATCTGCATGTCCAAAATTGAAGCAAGTAAGCGCCATGTAAACATAGAGCTCAGTCTAGCCCGAATCGGAGAGCTCTGAGGTGGCCGTCAAAGAGGCAGTTTAAAGATTTCGCACCCTACGCAAGCCAGCCCATTGGCTTCTTCCCAGACATGTGTCGAAGAATCAGGGACCACCAAACACCCCAAAGAACCCCCACTAAGGCCTTGTTTGGCATTGTTTGGCCTTAGCAAAAACTTGTCAACCCTCCCTTGCGACAAAGTTTCGGATGGCCCTCAAAACAAACAATACCGCCTACAAATCAGGCGGGAGCCCAAAAAAGGGGGAGCCCCAACAGAAGATTTAAGCACATGGTGCTGTTTCTTCTTGTTGGGTTCTACGCTCACTTGCCGGGCGAGTACAGTACATCGGTACATGAGGCGGCTCGGGTGCTTCTCAAAATTAAGGAAACCTTCAGCCATGCGTTTGGCCCAGGTATTTAGACTCGATTGCTTTCTGCTCCCCTGCTAAAAGTGACTAACTTTTAGTGGTTTAATACGGAAAACATCCATTAATTTGCAAAACGTTCTCAAGTCCTAACAGCCCTTGGCAAAATGTACCAAAGTAGAGTGACTCCCAAAGGACTAGTAGCCCGTTGAGCCCTGTGAAAGAAGCCATCGAGACGGTCGAACCCTGGAGTCGAATCCTGGAAAATGGGAGCATTCTGGCGACTTCATGAGGAAACTAAAGTTTTAGCTTTGATGTACCTGGAAAATGGTAACACGCCCCTACTGCTTTTTCCAACATTCCAAGTAATTTCTGTCCAACGAGAAGTGGCTGGGGTGTGTGTGTGTGTGTGTGTGTGTGTGCTGGTGGTTGAGTCTTTCCAGACCCAGTACATGGCACCCAGTTTACTGGGCTGTCCTCAGCTCCCCTGCTTGAAGCTTAACTTTTCGTGGGTAAAATGAACACCCCTCAACCCTTAGAACACCTACCCTGCTGTTAATGGAAACCCCCACTAAACCCTTAGAACACCTACCCTGCTGTTGAATGGAAACCCCACTCAACCCTTAGAACACCTACCCTACTATTAATGGAACACCCCACTAAACCCGTAGAACACCTACCCTGCTGTTGAGTGGAACCCCCCACTAAACCCTTAGAACACCTACCCTGCTGTTAATGGAACCCCCACTCAACCCTTAGAACACCTACCCTGCTGTTGAATGGAACCCCCCACTAAACCATTAGAACACCTACCCTGCTGTTAATGGAACCCCCCACTAAACCCTTAGAACACCTACCCTGCTGTTAATGGAACCCCCCACTAAACCCTTAGAACACCTACCCTGCTGTTAATGGAACCCCCCACTAAACCCTTAGAACACCTACCCTGCTGTTGAATGGAACCCCCCACTAAACCCTTAGAACACCTACCCTGCTGTTAATGGAACCCCCCGCTAAACCCTTAGAACACCTACCCTGCTGTTGAATGGAACCCCCCACTAAACCCTTAGAACACCTACCCTGCTGTTGAATGGAACCCCCCACTAAACCCTTAGAACACCTACCCTGCTGTTAATGGAACCCCCCACTCAACCCTTAGAACACCTACCCTGCTGTTGAATGGAACCCCCCACTCAACCCTTAGAACACCTACCCTGCTGTTAATGGAACCCCCCACTCAACCCTTAGAACACCTACCCTGCTGTTGAATGGAACCCCCCACTAAACCCTTAGAACACCTACCCTGCTGTTAATGGAACCCCCCACTAAACCCTTAGAACACCTACCCTGCTGTTGAATGGAACCCCCCACTAAACCCTTAGAACACCTACCCTGCTGTTAATGGAACCCCCCACTAAACCCTTAGAACCCTACCCTGCTGTTGACCCTGGAAATGCTGTTGAATGGAACCCCCCACTAAACCCTTAGAACACCTACCCCCTTTAGAACTGTTGAATGGAACCCCCCACTGAACACCTACCCTGCTGTTGAATGGAACCCCCCACTAAACCCTTAGAACACCTACCCTGCTGTTAATGGAACCCCCCACTAAACCCTTAGAACACCTACCCTGCTGTTAATGGAACCCCCCACTCAACCCTTAGAACACCTACCCTGCTGTTGAATAAACCCCCCACTAAACCCTTAGAACACCTACCCTGCTGTTAATGGAACCCCCCACTAAACCCTTAGAACACCTACCCTGCTGTTGAATGGAACCCCCCCCCACTAAACCCTTAGAACACCTACCCTGCTGTTAATGGAACCCCCCACTAAACCCTTAGAACACCTACCCTGCTGTTGAATGGAACCCAACCCCCCACTCAACCCTTAGAACACCTACCCTGCTGTTGAATGGAACCCCCCACTAAACCCTTAGAACACCTACCCTGCTGTTAATGGAACCACCCACTCAACCCTTAGAACACCTACCCTGCTGTTAATGGCACCCCTCACTCAACCCTTAGAACACCTACCCTGCTGTTGAATGGAACCCCCACTAAACCCTTAGAACACCTACCCTGCTGTTAATGGAACCCCCCACTAAACCCTTAGAACACCTACCCTGCTGTTGAATGGAACCCCCCACTTAGAACACCTACCCTAGAACACCTACCCTGCTGTTGAATGGAACCCCCCACTGAACCCTTAATGGAACCCCCCACCTAGAACCCTGCTGTTGAATGGAACCCCCCACTAACCCTTAATGAACACCTACCCTGCTGTTAATGGAACCCCCCACTAAACCCTTAGAACACCTACCCTGCTGTTAATGGAACCCCCCACTAAACTTTTAGAACACCTACCCTGCTGTTGAATGGAACCCCCCACTAAACCCTTAGAACACCTACCCTGCTGTTAATGGAACCCCCCACTAAACCCTTAGAACACCTACCCTGCTGTTGAATGGAACCCCCCACTCAACCCTTAGAACACCTACCCTGCTGTTAATGGAACCCCCCACTAAACCCTTAGAACACCTACCCTGCTGTTGAATGGAACCCCCCACTAAACCCTTAGAACACCTACCCTGCTGTTAATGGAACCCCCCACTAAACCCTTAGAACCCCTACCCTGCTGTTGAATGGAACCCCCCACTCAACCCTTAGAACACCTACCCTGCTGTTGAATGGAACCCCCCACTCAACCCTTAGAACACCTACCCTGCTGTTGAATGGAACCCCCCACTAAACCCTTAGAACACCTACCCTGCTGTTGAATGGAACCCCCCACTCAACCCTTAGAACACCTACCCTGCTGTTGAATGGAACCCCCCACTAAACCCTTAGAACACCTACCCTGCTGTTAAATGGAACCCCCCACTAAACCCAAAAAAACAACATATTAACAAAATAAAAATAAAAACAAAGGGGACGGCCGGGAACTGCCCAAGTTTCGTCGCCTTGCACTCGCCCGGCCTCCTGCAAGCCGTTGATCAGGTTCAGACGCTCCCTCGGTGCATTTGAAAACGTGAGCTGCAGCCTATGTCGCGAAAACCCTTTCACTTGCGGGACCGCTTTGTGGGTCTGGACCATTTTGGTGGCAAACTGGCCAGTCCACTGAAGAAGAGAGGTTGGGTGACCCGTTCAATGGGCTTCCCACCGGATGCTACATGATCGTCCTGTAAAATCTGGAACCCCTTCATTAGAGCCCGTTGTCCAAACCGAATTATTTTGGACCTTTGGGATTTCAGTTTTGGTTTTCCAGTGTTCCAACGTGTTGACTTTGTAGTTCCTTGTTGTTTGCTCAAAGTTCTAGTCAACAAAGTTCATGAATTTCAGGGAGTGAAACCTGTCTCTCTACAAAATATCACAACTTACAAACTGCAAGATCCCAAGTCTCGCTTTACGATGAGAGGGCCCGTGGTCCAAAGTCAGCTCAGGAAGCAGACTGGAGAAGCCTATGTGTTTCTTCGATATTGGCGTCTGCGTTGGAGTTTGTACCCTTTCACTTGCATATTGGCCCAAAGGAACAACTACCAGGAGCGTTGTTCAGGGGAAAACAACCCTAGCACATACTCACGCACAGAACTGCCGATTCTACTATTCTTCCAACAGCCGAACAAAGGCTTGGTTGCATTTGACCTCTCTGCATTTTTTTGTTTTAAAGAACTTTTCGTGGGTCTAATGGAAAATCAACCGTTTCCCCAAAAGTTGAAGTCCAAAGATCCAACCAAGTAGCCATAAAGAAGGCAGCCTCAAGTACAGGATCTATATCATGGGCTTTCGCTCGTCTTATCCCCGAATTGGTGGACCTGCTCGCCTTCAAATAGGCAGCCATCTGCAACTCTGCCCAAGCCCATTGAACAGAACACATTGGGTGCAAGACTGGGAAGGCGCACAAAGTGATTTCTCGGGAAGTGGGCTTTGATAAAACCTCAGTGGTGTCGAATAGGGGGCCCGGTTGCGGAAAAGCTGAACAAACACAGGGCCACTCAGCGCAAAGAAACCCTCCTAACGTGCAACGTGCCAAACAAAACACGACGGATTTCAAAGGCCCAAATTCAAAACCCCGGAATGGGGGGGGGGGGAAAACAACAAAAACAACAACATCTGCACGGACAAATCCCCGCTCACAGGCACAAGGACTCAACGCGCTGGCGGGCAGAAACAGCACACGCCGCTAGGGCGTTTTACAAGAGACATGTTTTGCTTACAATACCAGAACCACAAGCCAACCAACCCAACAGCCTGCCCCAACCACCCCAACTACCCCCCCACAAACAACCCAACCCAGCCACCCCCCCCAAACAACCACCCCCCCCCCACCCCCAACCACCCCCCCAACCTCCCCAACCTCCTCCCCACCAAACAACCCCGCAACCAACCCCCTCAGCCACCCAACCCGCTGCTCTCGACTCCCAACCCGCACTCGGCTCCGGGCTGCACGCTGCTCTGCACCGCCGCTTGGGTGGCCAAAGCCGTGAGCGCACCCAGCACGCCGCCCTCGCCTCACTCGGGGGCCCCCTCCAGGGGTCGGGTTTGATGGGGGGAGGTCGGGTTTGGGGGGTTGGGGTTTGGTGGGTTAACTTTGTGTTTTTGGTGGCTAGGTTTGGGATTTTCTTGGGTTTGGCGGGGGTGTTCAAGTTGAGGATGTAGGTTGGGTTTTAAGTTTGTAGCCGAAGGAGTCGGGAAAAGGTGAGGCATAAAAACGGTGATCACAAAGCCAATGGATCGAAATCCGAAAAGCCACAGGGGATGTCCAAAGCTCGGCTTTGGGCAAGTGAGGCTCATGTTTGGGGTGCCCACACCGATTCTGTCAGTTCATTCGACTTAGGTGCCTGGGCTGTCCTCGGATCCCCTGCTAAAAGTGAATAACTTTCGGTGGGTTCAATTCGGAAACGCCACTAAACCCTAAGAAGCTAAAAAGCTAAGGAACCGGATGGATTACCCGGGATGGACCGGCACAAACGTTTGGTCGGTGTCCCATTGCGTGGCAAATTGGTTCACTGAGGGGATTCCCCTCAGGATTTCTCCCCAAAGTTCTGGGAAAATGCACTGGCGGAGTGCAAATCGCCCTTCTGCCACCAGCAAACCAGCCGTTGGCCCTCGGAAACGGATGTCCTGGCCCTGGCGAGTTGTTTTTGGCCCTCGAAAAAGAAATCGAAGGCCCATCCAGAGGTCCAATTGGGAATCAAACATATCTACCACGGGTTAAACAAACGGCTGATGACGTTCATAACCTATGGGGCCGGCCTTTGCTGGAAAACACTGATCAACCTGAAGGCCAACCTTGGGAACCTGGATGCAAAGGGGGGGGCCTTGGAGTGACTACAGGGCAAGCAAATGACACCTCTTGCATTCCACTTCTGTACTTGTCCCAGCTCATTTGGTGGGGTTTTCCTTTTTGTGCACCTTGAGAGCGCATAGGGCAAGACCATGACCCACACAAGGCAACTCGCCATGCTACTGTGGATGGACGGAATCCTGCACCACCCAAGACACAATGGGGAACCATGGTTTCTTGGTATTTACAGGGGAATCAAATCATTCCCAGGGTTTCTTAGGTGCTGCGAAACGGATTTCGTCCATCCACAGTAGTTCTGAAGGACTAAAGGACCCTGCCTGTAGGCTCGGGATCCTCCAAGTACCTGACAAGACAATTTGGCCGGTTCGCCACAAAGTCCAGCTGGGTAAATGAATAATCCCCCCTGAGAAGAACAATGATTTGGGGCGGGGCGTTCTTGCATTAGGGTTGGAAGGGGGCTGTTTTCTTACCAAGCGGGGGAGAGATCGGGGCGAAGCAACCCTGGTTGAAGCTCCAGGAATCAATGGCTATATGCAGCAAATAACCTTGTACCAACACCAACAAAACCATAATTATGCCAAAGGTAGTTGAAGAAAAATCCCTTGTCAACTGGCTTGGCCACAAATGGGACAACAGAACCATGGACCATAGGTAGCCCTGCTTGGCAATGCTCTTGGCATGCTGGCCATTGGAGCTGCTGGTTTGACTTGGCGAGTTGAAGGGCCGTTGACGAGAAAACAGGAAGGACAAAGGAACACCGACGCGAAAGCAAGCCAAAAAAGGTAAACAATGAAACTTAAGAAGATAAATTAACAAAGGAAGGAACAAGTGAGCAAACAAACAAACAAAGAAAATCACAACCGGTATATCCGCTTTTGGACTGGCGTAGGGCAAGTTTTTCGTTGCGTGAGCTCTCTCATGGCGGTTGGTTTGGGGTTGGTTTGGGCTCGCTTCGGCTCCGGAGGCGAGCCAATTTTGACTGGGTTTGCCAATTTAGCTAGATCCTCCAGTAGAGAGGTTAGAATAAGGGTACCTTTTTTTGTTGTCTGTTTTAGTAAGGGAACCCTCCCTCAAAAAAGGGAGGGAAAGGGCACTACTGGGGGTCCTAGTTAAAGCTCACTCAAAGTCTGTAGCCAACCATGGTCATTGCCCTCGTCTTGGGAATGTGCAGAATTCTTACTTCGGTTGCCCGCAATCTCCATACGTACATCCCCCTGTCAACAGGGTGTTGGCACTCTTGGCACGTAGCGACCCTCCCCCCTCACCCCAAAAAACGAAAAAACACGGCCAGGTTTTCCCGCGGGTTTCCCTTGAAACCACCTTGAAACGGGCACCCTACCTCCGCAACTCCGCAGCTCGTTCCCTCGGCGCACTTGAGGGTCGCATCCGCCATGGACCCCAGGTCCGAGGAGTTCATGGCACTGCGCATGGCCTCGAAGTAGCTGCGGCCTCGGGCAGAGCTTCCGAATACCTGGAGTCTCCTTCTGACCCTTTGAAAATGGTTGGTCATGACCTCTTTCTTTTGGGTAACCCCATTTTTTGAAGGTCATAGAAAACCTAGGTACGCCTCGGATCCATCCCCTCCAAACGACCTCCCCCCCCACCCCCGACACCCAACCTTGGACTCCTTTCAATTAAGGGGGCCTTCAGGCCTTGGGCCTTTGGAGGAGGGCGCAGGGTGATTTTCCAACAATTAGCTAAGTGGAAACCTTTGGATAATGCTCTTTTGGGATGTACAACTAATCACGCAGTTCTTGGTTGACATTGGAAGGGGAGCAACAATTTAGATTTTAGCAGTTAAGTGGGGATTTCCCACTAAACCACAATTTGCAAAAATGTAAAATGTTTCCCAACAACAATCATGAGTTCGCCCCAAACCATTGACTCCTTCCGACTGAGGGCATTTGGAAGGCCTTCGGCCTGAGGAAGCCACAGGGGTACTTGCCGGGAACTAGCCAAATGGCAGCCCTTATCCCTTGGCTAATGTTGCGGGATTTACAACTAATCACGCAATTCGGTTTCAGACCATCTAAGCAGAAGGTCGGGCTTTCCAACAGCATGACTTTCATTTGCTTAAGCCCCCTAGAACGAAAAAACAAAACAACAAAAACAATATTGACAGTTGGGAAATCCCCAGTAGGAAAATAAATAAATAAATAAATCTATATATATATATATATTTCCAGTGGTAAAATCGGATCCCTTTAAAAATAGGGCAATGGAAGACGCGGATCTCAGGGCGTGAGATCAGCTAAGTGCTGAGGCCACCGCTGGACTTGCTGGCCAGGCCATCGATGCCTGGTCGGATCAGAGGCATCCCACGTTACAACGGACCTGGGAAGCAGGCTGTGATACTGTATCAACCCCGTTTGAGTGGAGACCAACTCTGAGGGAGAGAGAAAGTGAGACGGCGCCTTCTTGGTTGATCACGTCCTTCAGCAAATCAGCCTGGCCGAGTACAAGATCTGCACCTCAATGTCCAACTTATTGGATTGGCTTGGGGATTTCAACCAAACATGTGGCTGTGGGTCAAAAAGACCCAAAATGCAACCCTGGCAAATGGAAACATAGACTAAAATCTGCGGTCCCCTGGTGATGTAATATTGACCCACACCCATGTTCGGACAAAACAAAGGCTAACGAGCCAGGGAACAGTTTGACCTTTTTCCCGTGCCTCAGCCAAGCTAAGTTTGCAACTTGCTCGATGTTGCGCGTCAAACATGTAACCAGCCATACAAGCTGGGCGGAGTGTAGCAGTTCTTCTTGACATACCGCTCAGCGCTCTCTCCTAGACACAATTGACAGGCGCGTCGTTCTTTGTCTGACCCACCATTCCATCCAGCATGTCTGCAACTATCGTCACTCGTTGCAATTTCGTCCAGAAAAACCAGCCTGACGCAGGCATTGGCTGAGTCTTGCCCTCCAGCTGCCACTGGGCCACTCGGCTTGGGATGGAAGAAACCTGACTTGAGTATCTACCAGCTGGTGTCAAGCATGTTGTAACCATCCCCCCCGATTTCCCCGAACATCCCAGCGGTGCCAGAGCTGACTTGTTGAAAAGCACCAAAAAAAGACACATGGGCCACTGAACGAGTAAAGTCATCCCTAGAGAAGATTGGTGTAAAACAAAAACACGAATTGAACCAAACAAAGCGCACTGTTCCTTCGCATCGATCAACACGATTTCCATTGCGGTTGGGGCAGTTCATGCTACATAGCCGCAAGGACTAGGCGTTGGAGCCGAAGAATGGCTACCCTCCCACCAGCATCACCAGCAAACATGGGTTTGTGCACAGATCCCTGTAGAAAGACGACTTTCCTCTCGGAAAGGGCCTTTTTGCACTTCCCTGTTAGTTGGTGGGAGGGTGCAAGTACTGGGGCCCAGTAAGACCATTCAGGGCGACCGTCCTGCCAGCTCCGGCTCGCGCCCGCGCCTTGCGCAAGCTGACCTGCGCCAAGAGACCTCGGGCATCGCGAGCGAATTGGCACGAAAGAATGCGTTGCTTGCGGAGTAGAAAGGCTAGAAAAAGGGTACCAAGTTTTGTTTCCGGTAGTTTCTTTTAGTAGGGGACCCCTCCCGCAAAAAAGGGGAGAGAAGGGCACCACTGGGGGACCTAGCTGTTTTGTTGGGAAACCAGAAGGAAACAATCCTGGAGGCTCCCAAAAAAAAGAAGCTGCCAAAACTGAAGCCAGCCAAAACCCTTCTGGGAATTGGCCCCCGCAAATGGATCAACCTTCGGCACCACTCGCCCCCCCTTAAATCACCAGGGGAACGCTGAGAGGATCGGCGGTTCCCAGGTGCAAGTGCCTGAGGGGTCCTGGTTTAGACGAATCTCCTTAAGAGACCCTGTGGTGAGTTCCATGTGGAGGTGGGTATGAGGAAGACATCTGTGACTTCTCATGCGAAATGCAAAAACCTGCTGGCAAGTATGGATCCTACCCTGTCTGAAAGCAGGATCCCTCCTTACATGCAAAACACTTTGTGATGTCTAGCAGTGCATTGGCTCTTCCTTTTGACCTGCATGCTGAAAGCACCCAAGAGTTATTCGAGACCCATGCCCGCTGCCCGAGATCCAGCCAAATCGGGAAACGTACTGTCGCCCGTCTTAGGACTCGCCAATCCCAGAATAAAACCAAGGCTGTGTGCGCAAGGTGTGGTCATCTTTCAGCGCAAAGCAGCCCCGTTTGAAGCAGTCTTCCACGGGTTCCTTCAGGATCTGCATATTGTGCAATGTACAGTAAGTCCAACACCTGAAATATCGGTCCCCCAGCAAAGGCTCTTTATCAAATGACCCTTGTCAAGCCATTGCTTCTTGGCCTTCACTGGGGAATCACCAGAAACCATGCGCGGATTGTTTTTTTGGGAGTTGGTGGTGCCCTTTTTGTTGGTTGGTTTTAAAGGGTGTTAAAGGGAAGCCCGCAACAAGCCAACCATGTGTTGTGGGGGTCCCCATAAAACGGCCGGTATATGGGTCCGATTTTTCTTAAGGACCCTTTGGTTGACATGAACATTCGATGGGGATCCATGTCCAACCACTTGGCCATGGGGTCAAAATCCCGTACCCCCGTGAACATCCCAATCCCCACTAAAATGGACTAACATGGGTGGTGCACCTACCCCGAAATGGGATCCCATTGGTGTTGACCCACGTCCACTTTGGAGGCTTCCTATCAAAAATCGAACCCGATACGCACCTTTGGCTCACGCCTTGCCGAGGCGCCGAAGAGTGGCCAGCCACTCAATGCCGTGGCCACCCAAGGGATGTCCAAAAGCAACGTCAGCACCGGCGACGCGAACGACTGCCAAACCCGGGCCGGTCGGCGGTGGGGGGGTGGGGGGGGGGTTTGGGGGGAGTGAAATGGGTGCTTCATATTGTTTATTTAAAAGGGCCTCTGAAGTCTCCGTAACCTGTTGGAAAGGGTCATGATCGCTTACTTTTAATATTTTTCTGGGCCATGGAGACTGTAGCTGTAGCTGAAATGGGTGTTTTGTTTTTGGTCTTTGTTTTGAGGGTACGTGCCCTCCCGTCCACTAGCTTGGCAAGAAGTCTTCCAAAACGTGCACAATGGGTTGGTTGCCAGCTTCCCCCCCACAGCAACCAGAATGGGCCCCAACAGCTGTAATCTCTGCCCATACTAGGCTCTGGGGTGGTTTGGGGGCGGCTTTCAGGCAGGGTTCCGCAGGGTGCCGGGGCTGTGGGGATATCACTTGGGTATATTTGTTCGGGTATATGTTTTGCGATTTGAAGGAGATTCAACGAGTGTGACTCATGGGTCTGTCTTTTGTTGAGCGTACCTGTGCTTAATGGCTTCCTTCCCAAACCCAGTTGTTCAGTGACCCTGGACCAACACTGAAACCCTTTTTGGTGTTGATCGCTTTTTGGTGAGGAACCCACCAAGCACAAGGGAAGAACTGATGCCACTAAACAGCTGGATATGGATCCCCGAAAACCCCCCTGAATTTCAGACCACAAGTGTCGGATGTTTACGAGAAGCCAACCAAGGAAGCTCCCCACGAGAGCTTTCGGGAATTGTAACGCATTGTCGAATTGCTTGTGGCTGACCCCCAAGACGGAAGCCATCTAGGCAAGCATAACTTTGGACCACAGCTAGGGGTTTCATAGCACATGTGGGTGCGTCTCAAAATGGGTGGCCTCTCTTCATTTCGTTTCAGATCGCCTAGGGGCGTCCGGCAAGTGAGCTATGGGCCCTGGCTGAAGGAAACCGCTTCCCTCACTCACGAGTCACAGCCGTCGCCCTCATGCCCGCAGCCTCCCCAGCACTTTGCACCGTCTGCGCCACGCCCATGGGGTCATTCACCAAGCACACCTGTCACGAATCCAAGGCCTGCTGTGGATGGACAAAAACCTGCACCACCCAAGAAACAATGGGGAACCATTGTTCGTTGGTATTTACAGGATAATTTATCATTGCCAAGGTTTCTTAGGAGCTGCAGGATTTCGTCCATCCACAGTACCACTCGCCTTCCTTCTGAGCAAAGGCGAACCTTTAGGGCGTGGGAACCAGCTACAAGAACCAGGGGTTCAAAGCCCCCAATCCACCAGTCCAAACCACGAGTTTGGCTTGGTACTGGAATTCTCCAGTGCCAAAACATCAAACAAACCGGACTCTCAAACAAAGTGGGCAGTCCAAAATGTGCTTCCTCCAACCATCGGCATCAAACATCGTAGGAATCGCCGTCCTTTGACTAGGTCCTCCAGTAGAGAGGTTAGAATCAGGGTACCCTTTTCTCTGTAGTCTATGTTAGTAGGGGAAGCCTCCCGCAAAAAAGGAGAGCCCTGTTAGGGGTTCATCACTTTTGGAGGTACCACCCAGCTCTAATAGGACGGGTTTCTTAATCCGAGCTCAACAGTATGAGTCACAGTGTGTTTCGTTCACGCCAATCCAAGTGCCATACGTGCATTGACCTTTGGTATGGGGTATGCGTCAACATAGAGGGACCCCAACTGGGCGTGTGATGGGGTGTGTTTTTGTGAGGGTACCCTTTTCGGTGTACTTTCAAAGGGGCTTGCCCATTTTACACACCCATCTCACATTGGCAGAAACTGGGCCGGCAGGACAGAGAGCATCTGGAGAGCCAGCTTGCCTTGGCAGCTTGGCTGCTTGCCCGTTCGCATACCCCAAGGCCCCAAGGCCCTGAGCGAGGCTTCCATTTGCTTGAGGCCCGGGGTTTAAACACATTCTTAAGCAACTGGAGGCAGGTAGGGCTTGCTTAGAGATGACCAACTCATGGGGTCTGCTGCTTGACTAAGCGTGCTAACAGCGCGCCGGCGTGTAAAAAGAAACATCCCGCCCGGGAAAGCTGCCGCAAAAACAGGTGGTGTGCTCCATTGTGGGTAGTTTGCTTGCAATATTTAGGGCATCCAGTTGCCCCCATTCGACTCGATCGTCGACTGGAAAAGGAAAACACACGGAAGCCAACGCCAACTTGGTAATCCGTTGAACTTGTGGTTTGGCCAATTTGAGGTGAGCAGTGCTGACCATGTTTGGAAAGGCTTTAGCATCTTTCGTTTGGACAGCCACGATGAAAGAAAGCCAACAATACAACATGTCAAGAGTTTCAAAGTTTAGCTATGGACAAATGGGCATGGGTCAAAATCCCGTACCCCCAGTGAACATCCCAATCTCCACTAGAATAGGCTCCAAAATGGGTGGTGCACCTACCCCAAAATGGAATCGCATTGGTTTTGACCCACAGCCAAATCAGCCCTACGGGGCAAAGAGCCCAGCAACATGCCAAGCAAGAAGTGCAGAGCGAGTCGCCATAGCCACACTCGTTGGTAGCAGTGCCGTCGAAGCCCCCAACCGCCTCAGGCAAGCCGCTACTCTACTTGGCTGTGGGTTAAAAACCGGAAGGCCCAACAGGCCCAAAATGGGTTGCCCTGGACAATGGAACCAAGGACCAAAATCTGCGGTCCCCTGGTGGTCTAATTTTGACCCATAGCCATTTGTTGCGTACCAAGCCTTTGAGTCAGGACAAAAAGCACTGGGTCCATGGCTCATGTTGAGGGTAGGTAGTGAATTGGGTGAACGGGGGGCGGGATTGTTCCAAAGGGCGTTGACTAAGGCAACTTGCCTCAACTAGCTTTAAGACCTGGGCCCTGGGCTGATGCAATTTCAGACAGAAACAAATCCTCCAGCCGCAAATCGGCACAAAACATGAGGAGACAAGATGCCAAACATTCCGACGGCTTCGGCCTGTCCTTGGACACATCTCTCTAGACGAAGGAAGCCCAAGAGCCCCCGGGCCCCTGCCCGGAAAGCAAGGGTCTCAATATGCCCTAGAACATCACCTTTTGAGCGAATATTGTAGCCAATAAGTCGCAAATAAGCGGATTCGGAGGCCTGAAGACAGTGGCTACGCACATTCAACGGGCTTCTCTGCAAATCATTGGAATTGCTTTTCTGCGGGCATCAGCAGCTCATCTTTAGTGAACAAGGAGATTCCTGAATTGGTCTCAAGGTAAGGTTGTGGGAATGAGGGGTTGGCATCACAGAAGTTGCACATCCCATACCCTGGGTCTGACGCAACCCAAACGCAGCTTCCATTTTCCACACCTTAGGAAGTTCATGGGGGCTGGGGGGGAGGGAGGGGAGGGGGAGGGAGTCCCAATTTGCCCTTATTAAGCCATTAATAAAGCCTTATTTAGGGCCTGTTTGGGGTCCCTCCCCCTTCCCTCCCTCCAGCCCCCGTGTGAAGTCATCAGGTGCGAAGGACTGGGGAAAAGGCAAAAGCCCACCCTCTGAAGGAAATCCTCGCGCCCGCGCCTTGACCTTGGCGATTGTGTCATCCACCATCGCCTTCACCTCACTTTCTGGGAGCCTCGGAGGCGCCGCTATCGGATGCTATCGGCTGGGATGTACAGGCCACTTGAACAAGTTGCAAGCAAGGCCACATGATTCTCACGTGCTCCTCGGTTCCCAGGTCAACGGGTCAACGAGGATATCGCAGGGAACATGGGGAAGTAGTGAGTTACCCCTGTTGGTGAAAGAAACTTGCTGAGGCCATGCGCCTACCACATGGATCATAGACTTCCGGAACGTTTGATCAAACCTCTCGGTCCCTGAGTGGATTGGTCAAACAAAGTCTGAACCTGTTGCTAACCACTAAAACGGTCTTCCCAAATGCATATACCCATAGATATACATATGCAGATAATGTCAATATGCATATATATATATACATATGTAAATATATATATATATATAAATATGTATGGGTATGGGTCAAAACTAAAGCACAGGGGACCGCGGGTTTTAGTCATTGTTTCCATTTGCCAGGGTGCATTTAGGGAACCTATTTTTGACCCATACCCATATCACCAGAAACTCAGGGAGTGAGACCCCAAAAAGAACCTCCTTCGATGCCGGCACCAAGCGCCCCCAAAGAAGAAAGTTGCGGGCAAGCGGCGGGTTGAACCTCAGCGCGCGAGGAGTTGGGGCCCATTAGACCGGGTGGTGTCAGAAGGGGGAGCCCTCGAAACCTCCGTCCTACAAACAAGTGGGTCTGTCTTTTGCTGATGGACCCTTGTTTGGTGGTTTTAGAGCAAACCCAGGAGGACAACCACCATTTTGGGGGGTTGACCCTTAAATAAGACACAGCCAAATGCCACATGCACATGTAAGAAAGGGGCTGTTTTGGTTGTGGAAGTGCCTTTCTGTCACCACTGTAAGGCCTTCTCAATCACTGATTCGTTCAAAGGGAAGCTTTGGTGGCATGACAGAAATAAGGAAAAATACTCAGCAATCCCCACCCTCCACACTCACGAGCTTACGACCGTGAACACGGTTGTGTGAATCACCTGTCTGTGTGACAAAAGCCAAGCCCCTTCCAAAAAGAAACCCGACGGGGGATTAAACAAAGTTGCTTTTTCACAACCCAAAGCAACACAAAAGCATCACCCTTTCCGAGCCTCAGGGTACACTCAAAACACGAAGGCACCAACATGAAATGTAAACCCAAGCCGGGCTGGACATTAAGCAAAGCCAGACTGGCGAGCTGCTCTTGCGGGATACTGGCGGGATCCACTGGCAGCGAGCTACTCTGAAATACTCAGCGGCGGGAGCTATGGTGGGCTGCTCTGGTGGGATACTCGGCGGGATCCACTGGCGAGCTACTGTGGCGGGATACTCGGCGGGATCCACTGCTGAGCTACTCTGGGATACTCAGCGGGATACTCGGCGGGATCCACTACTCGGCGGGATCTGGCGAGCTACTCTGGCGGGGTACTCGGCGGGATCCACTGGCGAGCTACTCTGGGATACTCAGCGGGATAATCGGCGGGATCCACTGGCGGGCTGCTCTCGTGGGATATGGGGGGATATTCGGCGAGATCGCTCTGGCGGGATACTCGGCGGGATCCACTGGCGAGCCGTTCTGGCGGAATACTCGGCGGGATCCACTGGCGAGCCGCTTGGCGGGATACCCGGCGGGATCCATTGGCGAGCAGCTCTGGCGGGATACTCGGTGGGATCCACTTGCGAACCGCTCTGGTGGGATAGTCGGCGGGATCCACTGGCGAGCAGCTCTGGCGGGATACTCCTTCTCTAGCTAAAGGAAGCTGTCCTTTCAGATAAAGTGGTCTGCAAGGCGGATCCACTGGCGAGCAGCTCTGGCGGGATACTCGGCGGGATCCACTGGCGGGCTGTGGTGGGATATGGCGGGATATTCGGCGAGATCGCTCTGGCGGGATACTTGGCGGGATTTACTGGCGAGCCGTTGTGGCGGAATACTGGGCGGGATCCACTGGCGAGCAGCTCTGGCGGGATACTGGGCGGGATCCACGGGCGAGCAGCTCTGGCGATACTCCTTCTTTCAGATAGTGTGGTCTGCGAGGCGGGATCCACTGGCGAGCTGCTCTGGCGGGATACTTGGCGAGATCCACTGGCGAGCAGCTCTGGCGGGATACTCCTTCTCTAGCTAAAGGAAGCTGTCCTTTCAGATAAAGTGGTCTGCAAGGCGGATCCACTGGCGAGCAGCTCTGGCGGGATACTCGGCGGGATCCACTGGCGAACCGCTCGGCGGGATACTCGGTGGGCACTGGCGAACCGCTCTGGTGGGATAGTCGGCGGGATCCACTGGCGAGCCGTTCTGGCCGGATACTCCGCGGGATCCACTGGCGAGCAGCTCTGGCGGGATATTGGGCGGGATCCACTGGCGAGCAGCTCTGGCGGGATACTCGGCGGGATACACTGGCGAGCTGCTCTGGCGGGGATACTTGGCGGGATCCTCTGGAGAGCTGCTCTGGCGGGATACTGGGTGGGGGCGTGGTGTAGAAGCATCGATTCCAACATAAAATCTAACAACCCCTTCCTGTCGGGTGGGGAACAGCGTTCCCACTGCCCTGATCTACATCTTCATAAACGGCCTGGATTGCTGCATGATTCCTGAAGTGTAGTCAACTTGACCTGGATTCCAGAACAACAAAAACAAACAGGGAATCTGAAAGGGGCATAGATCATTCTCTGGACGCAAAAATGGGAAGTCTTAAGACTCAATCAAGAGAGCACCCTACCTGTAGGCTCCACGAATCCTTTCCGCAAAGCCTCTTGGCTTCAGGAAGCCCATTGGAAGTACATTGTAAGGGTCTGATCTTGAGATAAATCCTTCTTGGTTAAGGCTAAGCATACCCTCCCAAACATGGAACCTGACTGGAGGTCTTCGGGTGGGTATGGTACGGGGAGGGCAACATTTCAGCTTTCATTGCTTGTGAACATAGGTGTCCGTTTGGTAACATAGATGGCCCTGGTAAATGGAACAAAACCAAGCTAAACTAGTGCAATATAGTCACAAGCGACTCCCGAGTGGCTTCAACCCTCCAAACCACCAAGTCAAACCCCAAGCCAAACACACAGTTCGATTCTGGTCCATGCCGTGGATGGGACAAATCCTGCACGAGTTGGTAGGCGGTTTATCCCCCTTACTTATAGGGCTTCATCCACCCCAGCTGCAGGATTATGTCCGTCCAATATGTTGTACAATCTTAAACTGCATGTTAAACAAAGCAACAACAAAAAAAAAAAAACATCTTTAGAAAAAGCAACAACTCAAAACAAACAATCCCAAACACCACCGGGGTGTTCCTGGGTACCAGCGCAGCGCGCCGGGCGTTTCCTCCAGCAGCGCCCGGAAGCGCTGCTTGGCCTCTGAACCCAAGGCATGTCTGGGGAGTGTCTTCTTCTGCGCGTCCGTTTTCAGATTCCCTACAGAACGTGACCAACTTTGAGTGGGTTAAATGAAAACCACCATGAATCCGGGGTGTTTTTTCTTTGTTTTTTTCAACTCAGATGCCCAGTGGATTTCCATGGGAAAAAAAGAATCGGCATCCGTTTTTGGTTTGTTGACCTAGGGAACCCTTCCCCCCACAAAAAAAAAGGCACCACTGGGCAACTGGGTTTGCTGCGCTCTAATAAGAAGTGGTTGGGGTGGTGTCCTCTTTGAGGGTACCCTTTGAGGGTTGGTTTAAAAGGAAACCGTGCCCACTTTCCAGTTTTTTTCTTCTGTGCATAATTTTACATTCTATCCAGGGGTAACTAAAAGTGGGATGGGTACCAGCACCCTGCAGCTGCCTTTTTCATGTCCAACATTCCAAGTAATTTCTGTCCAACAGAAATCTGCTGGGGGGTGCTGGTGGTTTTATCTTGTCCAGACACCGTACATGGATGCAGTTTACTGTGCTGTCCTCAGATCCCCTGCTAAAAGTTGAGCCATAGAAACAAAGAAACCTGAAAGGACGACTGGGAACTGCTAAGTTTTGAGGAAACCGAGGGGAAACGACAAGTGGGTACCCTTTATTTGAAAAAAAAAAAAAACAATACTTCACCCGGACTGCAATACCATCCAAAATAAGGAACCTCCAAAACAAGTCCCATGATTACGGCCGTGTCCTCAAATATGCAGAAGTGGATGCCGGAAATATCGGAGTGCCTTAGACATAGACCAACGCCTGGGTACACCAAAACTGAGCTGTCCTCAGATCCCCCCGCCAAAAGTGACTAACTTTTAGTGGGTTAAATGGAAACTACCGCTAAGGAACCGGATGGCTGGGAGCCACACGGAGACACAGCGGGGAACGTTGAAGTGGGTGTGTCTCGGTTCATGCCGGGGGCTCCTAGACAATGAGGGATGACTTGAGGGCTGTGTCTCAAACTGAGACCGAGACTGCAAAAACACAAGTTGCTGCTTCTGGTCGTTGCGTTGGGGGTCTGGGAAAATGACAACTTACAGATCTCCTGTTGAGCTCCTTTTGGGAAACTTGATAGTTATGGGCCATTTGGCACTCAGATCAGGAAAGCAAAATGAAGGAAAACCAAGGAGGCAACCGTTCAGGGTGAGGAGGGGGTCGCGTCCATGTTTCAAGTCTTCCCTGCAAAAGGGAACATGGAACTGTGAATGAAGATCTTCGGTGGGGATTCTCAAGGTGATTTCTTCTGGTTTCCCTTTGAATCCCCCAACAGGGGTACCTTCGAACAAACACACCCGCAAAGGAAATGGGCGAAGCCAAAACCATGGCCGGTTGCCCTCCGAACAGCAGACACATGAAAGTGAAAACCTCTTTCCAAAGATCGACTATAGCTGCTTTTTCCCTGTTTGCAGGTAGGGTACGATGTAGTCCTGCTCTACTTGCTAACAGTGCCTGAACCAACCAATGGTTAGGTCCAACGTTGGAAACTCGATCATTCGCAGCGATGTGCCGGCGGTTTGTGCTTGGATGTAAAGAACCCAACAACGTACTGGGCATTAGGTACCTCTGGTATACCCCTGATAAATATGTTTCTCCTTGCCGAACCTGGAAAGCCACTTCCAGATTGGAGACAATCAGCCGGATGCTAGAACTGAACATTTGATCGGCTCCCAACGAGCAAAAGGTCGATCACCCTTTGCAGGCTGATTGGAAACCACTGCGTGTCCAAAAGGTCCTTTTGAGGAGATTTGGTCACAAAAACCAGCCATGTTGACTGGCTGGTTGCCCAAGAAAAGGAATAACTCACCTCTCAACAATACCAGGAGCTTCTAGCTTGGACAAATTGCTGCCTTAGGAGTCAGTTTGGATATCGTGTGAGAAGGAACCTCCTGAATAAAAGAGATCGGATCGCTCCCAAGAACAAGGCCAGTCAAACCAAGCAAACGACGAGATGTCGCAAGCGGGGAGAACCAGTCCCACAAAAGCTAGCGCCTGGTGATTCAAGATAAGACCCTACTTGACCATATGGACAATGTCTGAATACTGTACATGTCAGCAGTATTTCTCAAGTTCTGGCTTGTCAATGTTCATAGTGGGGGGGCCTTAAAGGAAACCATAGGGGATTCTTGTCGTCATTCCATTTCTCCTTCTTCTTCAAACCTGACAGGAATAAGTCCTTGATGCCTGATGGATCGTTTTCCCCAATCGAAGGATCATGGTGATGTTTAAACAAGAGGAAATCTAGGGAGCCCTGTTCCACGGAAGCCTGCGCAGCAACACGCACAAACATATCTTCAGCTCTCGAAATTTATGGCTCGGGGCATGGTTCGGGGGTATGGTTCGGGCCACTGGAACATCCCAGCTTTCCATACTGCCATGAACACACCCAAATGCCTCGAGCGCAAAAAACGTCCGAGGCGCGGCGAGCCAAACTTCCGCATGCGGGCCCTTCTGACACTCCAAGTCTTCAGGGATGGCCACCTGGCACCTCGGAGAGTCGATTTTCGACTTCCGAGCGAAAGGCGAAGTCCATGCATCTTTGCGGGCCGCGTTCTGAGGAAAGCGGTTGGGTCCATTTGGTCTTTGCAGCTACTCGGTGGCGAAATCTGCTCCCCTGCTAAAAGTGACTGACTTTTAGTGGCTTGAGGGAAAACCCATTAGTTGGCAAGAAGTTTAACGTCCTAACATCCAAGTAAGTTGCACCAAAGAGTTCATGGCGCAGCTGGGATGGTTCCCCCGAAAGGTTTTGGGCATCAGGTCCTGGAATGGTTCGGAGTAGCCCAGGCCCAACGAGAACCCCAGGAAGAAAATCCCCGAAGCAAAGCTGGAAAAGTTGGTTCAGCCCCACGTGAGCCGCGCGCAAAAGGTTGGTTCTACCACGACCGGACCGTGAGTTTGGTGTCTCCAAATGCTGGCTTGCAACACTTAACAGTGCTCCTAGCCAAACCTCCTGCGGATTCCCATGGAGGGCTGCCGCTGGTTTTAGGTCGCTGGTGTCCAAGGGGGCTTCACCACCTCCAACCAAAGACAAACCGAGCGAACCTGGCACCGCTGGAGGTTTCAGGGGCGAACTTGCAGTTTATACTGTTTCCTTCAGGACTTTTCCAGGAGACACACAGGATCAAACAACCTGACCCCCCCCCAATCTGCCAGAAAAGGCTCTTAGAACCTTATCAGGAGGGGTGCTAAGGAGGGTGGATGCCCTCAATATTGTATGTAAACCAACCACACTCAACAACATGTCGGTAAACTAGATGGTATCCTTGTTCCGCATGCATGCCAACGCCATTTCCGGCCGCCGAGTGCCGCGCCATGCCAGCGGAAGAAGGGCCAACAGGAACGCCTGGGCTCAAGAGCCGAGTTTCACGCGATGCCAGCAGGGGTGTGGTGTGCCCGAAACGCGGGGTCAGGGTCTTTGACCCAAACCCTACAGTTGACTCCCGAACCTTATTGTCCCTTACACCAAGGTCAAGCCCAAATCAGATCTGCAAGTTGGCCCAGATCTACAAGCCGGGGTGTCTTGGGAGCCCAACAGCTTGCATGGCAGGGAGGGGCTCTTTTTTTACAGACCTAACCTTGAAGGGCACAAAAAACACGCACCAATGGTCCTTCAAGAATGGCACCGAGTAGCTTCTTCTGCACGAACTGTTGGCGGCAAATGCCGAGTGCGGGAGGCTTTCGAGAGTGACAGTCGCAAGGGTTCAGGCCATGTGGAAAAGGACCCTCTCCAGTCTCAGCTGAGAGGGTGGGTCAGAAGGGTGTTTTCCTTCTCTTCCAAGGAGTGGAGTCAGTTGTAATGTTGTACTCCGTAAGTAAGGATGCATGCGTGTTAACAATTGGCAGTTTCAAATTCCATGGAATTCGAACAAATCTGTAAATATAAGGTATTTAGTATTCATGAGTGTGTTTATGTTGTCATGTTTAAATGATCAAATGGACCCACTGCGGGCACAAAGGAATTATCAGTCCAAAGCCGCGTGCGCAACGTCAATGCCAGGTATATATCTCTTCCTTATTCAGGTAGGAACCTTTTGGAGCCGCACGGGAACTGCATGTTTTGTCCAAGGCTGCTGGCTCGCCATGAACAAACTAGGAAGATAAGCAAGAATTGTAAACAGCTCATCACATGTTGCATGGGAGGGGGTGTGCCTCTTGGTTGGGTGCCAAATAAACCCACGATTCCTGTCCCTCCAACATTCCATCAGTTCGGAGCCATCAGGAGTGACTGGGGTATACGACGCCCAAGACCGAACCACCCCATACCCGCGCCGCATGCAACCGAGCGGCACGCATGGCGCTGTTGTCGTGAGGTGAAGCGTTCTGCTTTGAACCCATCACCCGGGGGCGCGCGGTGAAAAATCTCTTCACCAGCCGGGTGTCAACAAATCGGTTTGCGAAGTGACGTTTTAACTGACGAGCGGAAATGCGGAAACAAATAGATCTCGGCATGATGGTCCTTTTGCCGTTGACTTCGGTGGTTGACAAATCCGGAGTTCCAACAAACACATGCTACGACGTTCGGGCGGTCCATAAATGTGTTCAGAGAACATCTGCTGAAAATGGTTTGAGTTTGCCGTTCCTTCTCCACGGGAAGGAACAAAATCCATTCTGTAGGCTCCTTCCGCAAGCCAAGGGAAAAGGAGTGCCTTTCCCCATCCTGACGCCATTTAAGCCAGGATGACAGGCACTTGGATGATGTCATCTAAATATCCACTAGCGTCTGCTGCAATCCTTTCAGCCCAGGTCTTTTGGTGTCAAGGTAGTCAGATGTAGTCAGGGCAGTCTTGAAAAAAACACTTCCTCCACACTCCAGGACCTCACTTGCATCAACCCGCATTGATGGGGCAAGCCTTGGGTCTGACGGAAAACGGTCCAACCTAATAACGCTATTCTATGCGCCAAAGAAACCAAAAGCGACGGGGCACACAAATGAGCCTGGCGTACAGCAACTTGATTTTCTGCATCTCTGACACTTTGGTTTGGGTTCACTGACGCGCAACTCCGCTGGCTTCTGGATCATGGGACTGACCAAGTGCACGCCCAGCCTCACTTGACTCTAGGGTTGCAAGATGGCCATAGCCAGAAGCACATGAGTCACAATCAAAACCCGGTAGTAAACTGGTCCAAGCCCAGAACCATGTGAAGAACTTAGAAGGCGGACATCCGCAGCTATTTCTGCTTGGGATCGTCCCTTACTAACCTTCATCCACCCGGGTTTTGATTGTGACTCACATGACAAATGTTGATACGATGGATGTATCAGGAAACAATTCTAGAATGTCTGCTTGGGGCTTCCCACATTGACCAAAGAAGCACTCATCTATGTGGCGCGTTGGATCACAAGCCACTTGTGGTCAAAGGGGCTTCAACAAAATGGTTCCCTGAACTGGTGCTTTGGATGTGGACAGCTGGAGAACAAGTGAAACATTTGACACTCAGGCCTTCCGCACTTCCGCTCTCCTTCTCTTGCTTTTGTGTTTGTTGCTTTTGGTCTTTCTTGCTTTATGTCCTTCTTTATGTCTCTTCTTTCTTCGGCTCTTGCCTGCATTTGCAACTCTGCCCATTGAGCCCTCGGTGCCTTGCCGGGACTGATGTTCGCAGCGCCCAGGATGAAGTAGACATAGATGAACCTCGGACGTAGGGAACTCCATGACGGGTGCTTGAAGCGGACCAGAAACAAGCCACAGAGTTGTCGAAGGAAAACCAGTGCCGAGCTTTTTCGTGGTGAAACCCGGGCAAACCAAAGCGAATGAAAACCAGTGCCGGGCTTTTGCGTGGTGAAACCCGGGCAAACCAAAGATCATTCGCAAACCGGACACTTCCAGAATACTTGTAGACCTTGGGCTTTCACCTGTGGTTTGCCTCTCAGTAGACACAGAGGCACTCTCCTCTGCTGAAATTTCAGACCTTTCGGGGGCCCCATCAAATCGGTTAGAAAGGAACCCGCTTGGGTGAACTGGTTTGACCCAGGGTTCAGCTTCCTTCTTGGTGGTTTGGATTGGTGGTTAGAGGTTGCCATTTACCCTCTAGATCCAGGGGTTCAAATCCGAATCCACATCACCAATCCAGACCACAGGGGGATCCTGTTTTGGTGGGATGGCAGCAGGCTTTCTCCAAACATCCTTCGTATTCCCCAGAACTCGTTGGGCCCCAAAAGCAAAGTTAAAGCTCCGGCAATTGAGCGGGGTGTTCCGTTAAGGCAAAAGCCAAACTTCACAGGACCCCTACCCTTATCCTAAGTCTACCCAGGAGTCAACAGGAAAGGGAGTCATAGTCTGATCCTGCGTGGTTCTGGCTGCAAACATCGGGCCAACGGGCGAATCACGACTAGGGGTCTATGCGGGGAGGGCTTCCTTGCTTGTGATTGTCGTTTCGAGTAACTTTAAGAATGCCCATCAGCCCCGGTAAACTTCCGCATCACTCGACCCCCCGCGCGACTGCACTCTTGCCACGGCGTCAGGGTGATACTGCAACTCGGCTCGCGGATAAAGCTCCGGCCTGAAGACGCTGTACGATTTTAAACAATTGGCCGGCCGCAAGGTACAGGCAAAGCCGACATGTCCGGCATACAAATATATATATATATATATGTATATATATATATATACATATGACTACACCTCCCTCCCATGATATATATATATATATATATGTATATATATATATATATTATAAATGCATAAGATTCTGGAAAATCAGGGAGTAGCGCATCCTGGTGCAAAACCATAGCGGCTCACCGGCTCACCCAACGCTAATACCCCAGTCATATAGTCCCTTGCTCATATAGTAAGGTAACAATAAAAAGTGTTCACGACGGCTCGCAACAAGCCTGGTTACAAAGAGGGAATGATCCAAAGCACAGTCTCTGTGAGTTGCCCTTCGAGTTGACTAACTCAAGCCTACAAATAATCACAGATTGCCGACTCCTGATTGGAACAAAGATGTCGGGGTTGCTCAAGAAGCCTCGGCATTCGTATCTGATGAAAAGAAACAAATGAAGCACTATCCGTATATAGGGGGTTGGACGTCGTTTAGGAACGGCGGGTGCAAGCCTGACTTTCGAAGCACCGAATGCGTGTACATAGACCCCCTTGGGTAATATCTAAACTCGGTTGCTTTCTGCTCCCCTGCTCAAAGTGACTAACTTTTAGTGGTTTAATACGGAAAGCATCCATTAGTTGGCAAAAAAGTTGTTCAGTCCCAACATCCCTTGGCAAAATGTGCCAAAGTAAAGGGAAACCGCAAAAAGTGCCCCAGTGCACCCCAGTTTTGGAAAAGCAAGCCCCGTGAGTTTGATTGAGCTCCTCAGCTCCTGGCCTTGCCAAACAAGCGGGTCTAGGAAAACCGGTGCAAAAAAAAAGACCCGGGGGCAACCGCCAAAATTCCGGCGGCTTCCCTGTCTTGGGACAACCCCAAAATGGCGGCCAAGCAAAAACAGTTAACAAGCCGTTTTGGAGTGCAACCCTCTGGCCTTGCAACCATCTGAGACCTTGGCTGGAATTAGGACCCCAGCAAAAAATATACTTTTTGCCTGGTGAGTGGAAAACAAAGGGAACCCCAAAAAAGCAAAAAAGTAAAAAGGGGAACTAATTCTGGGGAAGAGACATGTTGCCTGTTCAACGCCAAAATGAAGAAATGGCAACCACCATTTACAAGTTGCAATGTTCGATCGGTGTTTTTCATGTAAGGATCCCTCTTGGGGACACGGGCTTTACTGGCCTTATTGCTTTACCAGGATCAAAGTCACCCCCGTTGGGTGGTGGGTTCAAGGGAAACTACCGAATCCGTTTTCTCACTTTGAAAACCCCCAGAAACTGTCAAATAATGACCCCAGATACGGCTCCCCTGTAATTTGACGCCTCTGATTCCCCTTGGCACGTGCTACAGGAGAGCGAGTGGTGGAATCCACAGTTGGGGCATCAACTGCCAGTTTGGTAACTGTTCAGGTGTTGTAAAGGCTTCCTTCTTTGCTGTTGTGCACGCTGTGGCTCAAAAAGCGGTACCCAAAAAGAGACAAACAGCTGCGCAGCCTGAGCTGTTTGAGTTTGAGCCATCATCCACATGGGCTGGTTAGCACCCAAAGGAGCGTTGAGGAAAAGTTGGCTCTGCCTTTCACTCCCGGACGGGGGCGGCGTCAGTGGATCGAGATCTGCACTCCTGGTGCTGAGATCGGTCGGCCAAGAGGGGGGCCAGCTCCAAACAAAAAGATTCCTTTGATGGATTTTCTTTGGACTGGAGGTTCAGCAAATGGAGGTTGTCTTTGGCTTGCCTTTGAAATCACCTCAAAAACACGTGCCCACAGCAAATACCCCCCTGTTTCGATACTATCAATTGAGTGGCCAAGAGGAGCCCAAACGTGACATAAAGTAGCCATGGGCGTGAGAATTCCGAGCTTCCACTTTCTCGCAAGTACTTCCCACAACCATGGATTGGGTTAGTATGATTTGCCGATTGGTTCCGCTTGATTTGGGTTTTTGACAACCAAAGCGAGAACCGAAGCGAAGTCGGAGGGTCCAGCCTTCAAACAGCTGAGCCGCTGCACACAGAGGAACTTCAAATGATGGACATCGTTCCATCAAAAGAAGAGGCATTTGATCAAACAAATGCAACAAAGGTAATGTTTGACTCATCAATTGCACCAAAGGTAATGTTTCACTCACTGGACAAAGGGCACGAGGGCCTTTTTCCAAAGGGGAAGAAACTCAAGCAAAAGACACACAGAATCAAGGCTTCAAATTCCCAAAGCATCCAAACAAACGAAGAAGCAAAAGAGGCGTCAAATTCCCAAATCCAAACAAACGATATCCGAGCGTCCCACTGCCATGCCCATATCTTCCAGCCGTCAAAACAAAAAAACTTTTGGCCTCAGCCGGCAAAATGCCCAACACTATGACCTGGCTCGGCTCTCCGTAGCCCACTTCGAAACCCCCCCCGCGATCCCCCCGCGCCTCGAGCTGCGCGTGATATTCCGCGGATTCGGATCGCCACTGATGGGCCGGAACTCCGAGCTCGAATTCGCGGCGATGGCTGGGGCCTATCTGAATGGTGCCATAGTATTGGAGCCATACTTCGGTTTGTTCTAGAAGTAACTTGAAGGGATGGGAGTTAGGGCCTACATAGTTGGAATGGTGCCATAGTAGTATTAGAGCCATATTTCGGCCCTCTTCCAAGAGTAACTTAGAGTTATAGGCTAGTTTGGCTCCCTTCCCCCCGGGAAAGCAGCTCGAAGGAGGAGAAGATCCCCACAAAGGCGGAGCGCTGCTTGAACTCCACCTGGCGCAATCTGAGTCCAGTGTGACGACTTCGCACAAACACGGGGCTTGGTTGCTGTTGACCCCCCTGCAAAAAGTTCTTAACTTTTAGTGGGTTTAGTGCAA